TAACAGAAGAAGATATTGATGAATTATATAATTTATATAATCCTGAGCCGCAAAAAACAAAGGTGCAAAACGCCCAGGTCCTTCAGACCATAAATGATGCACAAGCTTTAATTTATGATTCATTAGTTAAACCATATTCAGCCCGACTTTTAAATGAAGATCAACTTTTGGAATTCATCCTTCAACATAAACTCGAAGCAGGAAAGTCTATCAAACCTTTATATACAGCATATTTAAAACAAACGAATAGAATACATCCAGAATTAATGAAAGGGGGAATGAAATCCAAAACTTCATCATCCAAAATCAAAGCAGATAAAATTAAACCACTTGCAACACCAAAACCTCCAACGACAGTACCGCCTCCTCCTTCAGTTAATCCTTCATCATTCACTTTATTATATCCATTTCAAACATTAAAGAAGCAAAAAGATTTTAAAAAGGATTTCAAGATATTAAATAAACCAACTGACCCAAAAATTCAACCGTTAAAGGAAAAATTTAGTCGCCCTTCATTTGCACCATATCCATATTCATACGAAATCGATCATTTAGAATATTCAAAAGGAAACGTTACTTATTTATTTGCCATTAACATTAACACCAGATATTTATATTGCATTCCGGTGAAAGGGAAAACAGAACAGGAAACAAGAAGAGCTATACAATACTTACTAGATCATGAAAGAGTAGATAATATAAGGGGTGATAGTGATAAAGGATTTCAGGCAGCTATGGCTCATTATTTCCCACAAATTAATTTTTACTTTTCATCTTCTCCATATACGTTTCATAATAAAATAGTTGATGCGGTAATGAGAACTCTTAGAGATGCGTTAGGGGTTAACGGTCAGATATACTGGGATGGAAATCATGACTCCATCATACAGCAGTTAGTATATTATTACAATAATACATGGCATAGAACTATAAACATGAAACCAGTGGAAATGAAAAATGATATTTCAAAAGAATGGGAATATATTAGAAAGCAAATGGAAAGGTTAAATGATGTTAAACGTGAACAAATTAATTCGGGGCTCATGAATTTTAAACAAGGGGATAAAGTTTTGATTCATCTCGATTATGGAAAAACTGATAAATCAATGACAAAAAGAAGACGAAGATTTGACACAATAGCTGAATTTGTTAGATATATTAACGGTAATGTATTAGTTGAGGTTAACAATAAATTAATAGAAATTCCGATTTATTTTATTACTCCATTATATTTAAATAATATTTAATTTTTTTTAATTCGTAAGAAATGAGTGACAACGAAGCAGCCAAGAGTCCAGACAATGAATATAAAAAGAAACTAAACAAAATTAAATCAAAAATATGCTATTATAAAAAGAAGCCGCAATGTGGTGGGGTTGAAAACGATAAAGAAATAATCGAAAAATTAGAAACTTACCGTTCAATCCTTAAACTGAGTGAAGCAAAAATAAAAGAATTTAATAGAATAAATAAATTGATTGGAAGAGATGAATTTAATAAAGATGAATTTTTAAACTCTATCCAAATTTAATTTTTATTCCTCATCTTCTCGGTTTTCGTGGTTTGTTGTTTTTAATTTGTTCTTGCATCATTTTTATCATTTCCTCCCTTGTTATGATTCGTGGTAAATTTTGAGCTTGTGAGGTATTCATTTATATAAAAATTAAATTTTGTTATCAGTTATTTTATCGTTAATGTTTCCAGGTTATTCATTTATTAATTATTTTTGAATAACTGATGGGGTCACCGGGTCACCAGGTCACCAGGTAATTTAACTTCTCTGAAAAAATGAGACAACATGACATTTTGACAACAACATAGGGAAAGGTACTTATGAAGCATTATTGAAGAACCTGAAAACATTAATGAGGAAGGCACTTATTATTTATTTTTGAATAACTGATGAGGTCACCGGGTCACCAGGTCACCAGGTAATTTAACTTCTCTGAAAAAATGAGACAACATGACATTTTGACAACAACATAGGGAAAGGTACTTATGAAGCATTATTGAAGAACCTGAAAACATTAATGAGGAAGGCACTTATTATTTATTTTTGAATAACTGATGAGGTCACCGGGTCACCAGGTCACCAGGTAATTTAACTTCTCTGAAAAAATGAGACAACATGACATTTTGACAACAACATAGGGAAAGGTACTTATGAAGCATTATTGAAGAACCTGAAAACATTAATGAGGAAGGCACTTATTATTTATTTTTGAATAACTGATGAGGTCACCGGGTCACCAGGTCACCAGGTAATTTAACTTCTCTGAAAAAATGAGACAACATGACATTTTGACAACAACATAGGGAAAGGTACTTATGAAGCATTATTGAAGAACCTGAAAACATTAATGAGGAAGGCACTTATTATTTATTTTTGAATAACTGATGAGGTCACCGGGTCACCAGGTCACCAGGTAATTTAACTTCTCTGAAAAAATGAGACAACATGACATTTTGACAACAGGTAGGATTAATGTAAAAATAAATTCAAATCATACTTTATAAAGCTTCATTTACAGGTATTTCATCGTCAGTAAATGAATCCTCATTATCGTTTGGTTCAACCTGTTTATATAATCCTTTCATTTCTTCTTTCAAAACATAATACCATGTCTGTTTACCATCTATTTTTCTTTGTTTCCTATCACATTTATCCTTAATGCTCATTTGAAAGTTTTTGTCTTTCATGTCTGATGGTTTGCAGAATAGAGCATTTTTACACGTCATACCTGCACACAATTCATCATAATGTGTATTTATCCATACATCTAAAGGATTTGTTGATAATTCAATTAAATCTTGTTTGGCTTCAGTCATCGGTATGATTCGTACATTAAATGATGAAAGGTCGTAATTGATAAAATACGTCAGTAAATTATCATAAAATTCCTTAGTGCATGAATTCATCAAATTCTTGAAATAATCAAATTGACCCTTAAATTTACCATTAACTCTTAAAACTACATATCTTCTGTCTCCAACTTCAATTTTGACAGGGTAGACGTTATTAGTTACGAAAATGAAATTGGCAACGTTTTGTGCTGTTCTTCTGGGTTGATTCTTTTCATTAATTCTAATCTCATTATCCGTAATAATTGATTTCAAAGCGTTGAAGTTTGCGAGTCTATCTTCACCCACATTCTTGAGTTCATTAAGTACAAGAAACATTTTATTCTCAACTACTGAATTGAAATTACCCGTTAGCTCACTTATTTCAGTAATGTTTTTGCATGAATAACCAGCGAGAAGTTCAGAAATAATGTCAGTGAATCTGTTTTTACCTATTCCCTGAAGTCCTTTCAAAATAATTGCTGTTTCATTCTTGATTCCAGGATGTTGAATCATTGATGCAATCCAGCCGAGAAGGTATTTATACACTTCATTGTTATTATCACAAATGACTTCTTTAATGAAATTCATAAACATCTCAATTTTTGAGTAATCTGGTTTTTCGAGAATGTTGTATTTATAACCTTGAAACGTTGAGAAAACATCTGGGGAATCAGATTTAAAGCAAACACCCTTAACGGTTAATGAAGACAATTGATTTAGTAGTACATCCCATGCTGTTATGGTTTTACCTTCTTCTTTAAATAATTTAATCATTTTAAGTGACTCTTTCATGTTTGATTGAAGAACGAATGATATTTGATTCATTTTGTCGTGGATATTATAGTCCTTTTGAATGAAGTATTTATTTCCACAATCTACAAAACGGATTACACGTGATAAATCCTCAATTACTTCAGAACTGTTTTTATACTGATGATTTTCAGCCTTGCGTCTAATATCTGTTATCAAAAACGAGTCATCAAGTTTTATATCAAATGTTATTTTTGGCTTACGTAATAAAGGCAAAACATATTCATCATAATATTCCTTTTGATATAGTTTTAGAATCTTCACCAAAACAAATGGAGAAGTCATTAAATATGCATATCTATTACGTGCTTTTTCAAAATTACTTTTTGCATTTTCTGTTAAACTGCAGAAGTTATAAACGTTATCGTATGCTTCATTAATCAAATGATTAGGTAACGAATTAATTGCTTGAAACAGTGTGAATAATGTAACTTCTTTTTCTAAATTCATGTTTCCACCGTCATTATGTACTTCAAAATCACAGATACCATCGACTATGCTTTGAGCTAGTTTATCGTCAATGTTTACATTTTTGTTTTCATTCATGATAATCTTTATTTCTTCGTTCTTTTGTTCAACTCTTACCTTAATATTCAAATCATTTAATATATCATTCACTGTTCTAGTTAATGTTGAATCATAACTTCCACGAATGAATGAGTATGTATTGATTGGTTCTGTTGCATTCTTGCGAACTCTTGAATCAGCCATAACCACTAATGAACGCTTTGAATCAACCATTGAAGTCATTATATCAATATCATAATCATTGCCGGAATAAGATTTAATCATTCTGTTCGAAACTGTATAGAAGAAATTAGTGTTGCAATAAATGTGAAGACCTCCCGAAGCGGTTTTAACGATAACATCTTTATCCGAAAGTTTTGATAAAATGTCTTTTCTTACTGTTTCTTTAAGTTCATCATTGTATGATTTATTGATATCAACATCTATAATCGTTAAATTTGATATTTTATTTACTAATAAAGCCGTACCAGTTTTCCTTCCTCTTCCTCCATCATGTTTGGGGTAGTTATGTAAATCAATCGTATTTTCACCAATTCTTTCGTTGAGGGTTTTAGTTTCTGCCACAACTAATTCCTCAACTAATGAATCAATAACTTTTTCATCAGAAACGATAAAGTTGCTGCTGTCGTTTGTTGCTGTCATTTATATAGGAATAAAAAAATAAAAATAATTTTAAAACTAACTTTATTTTTGGACTGCATCATATTTCCGGCACTGTTGTCAAAATGTCATGTTGTCTCATTTTTTCAGAGAAGTTAAATTACCTGGTGACCTGGTGACCCGGTGACCCGGTGACCCCATCAGTTATTCAAAAATAATTAAATGAAGAACCTGAAAACATTAATGAGGAAGGTACTTATGAAGCAACTTTTGAACTTAAAATATAGTGCAACTATTTCCGGTTTCTTCTGGTTTGTGTCAGAATATTTTTTATAATATAATCTTATGTTTTCAGGGTAGGTAAAATCTTGACTATAATATTTATTTTTGTCATCTGTATAATAATATACTATTCTCGTTTTTTCTATTGCATTATATCTTTTATATCTATAATAATCTAAATATAATGTTAACTTTTGTTCATCTACATGTGGTGTTCTGACATCATCTCCATAGTCATAATAATATGGTGCTGGAGCTGGGTCAGGCAATGTCATATCTGTCATTTCATAAACTCTTAAATATTTCTTTTGTTCGTCTCCATATAAGTTTAAGTAACAGTTGTTGTCTAATGGAACTTTAACTTGTGTGCCATCATTCTTTTTATAACTTACATACATTTCATTGTTATTTTTCGGAATGAGTTTACACCGTGTACCATTTTTTAAGGACTGTACAAACTGCCATCTAAAATATTTATTTTCTTCATTGACAGAAAAGTCACCAACAATAGTTTCAATATTTTTCGTTGTTCCTATCAAACTTTGGTATATTTCGTTAACATATTCCTTATCCGCTTTCTTCTCTAACTCATCATTAACATAAGTTTTATCCGCTTTAAGGTCTAAACATCCTGAAACCCATCCTGTATCAGCTTTAGTTTTAAAAATCTTCGATGTCCATTCATGATACCATTCAACCCTTTCTTTAATTTCATTATCTTTTTCATCAACATAAACTAAATTTGCCTTCTTATTTAACTCACTAGCCACACATTCCTTATCCGCTTTCTTCTCTAACTCATCATTAACATAAGTTTTATCCGCTTTAAGGTCTAAACATCCTGAAACCCATCCTGTATCAGCTTTAGTTTTAAAAATCTTCGATGTCCATTCATGATACCATTCAACCCTTTCTTTAATTTCATTATCTTTTTCATCAACATAAACTAAATTTGCCTTCTTATTTAACTCACTAGCCACATATTCCTTATCCGCTTTCTTCATTATGTCATTTAGGAAACCTTTTATGAATTCCTCATTTAAATTAAATCTTCCAATCTTCAAAACTTTAGGAAATGCATTTAATGCGTAATATCTTTGTTCTTCTGGTGGAATTGATGTTATATCATCCGTTATACCTTTAATTTTTGAATTCATAAATAAAATTTCTTTTATATTTGATATCACTGCACCACCTTTGCAAACAAATTCGAAATGCTCATTTTTCAATACTATCTCCAAATCTCCATATTTCAACCTTTGCGTTTGTTCTGCCGTCTTTGAATTATATGCATATATGGCGTATGTAATGGTTTGAAGGACCTGGGTGCTTTGTGTCTTAAGTTGTTGTGGTTGCTGTTGTTTATTCATTTATTACGATTTAAAAATAAATATTTAATCCATTATCTCATCAGCTATTTTTTCTATTTGAAATTGCCATAATATTTCATTCATAAATTCTAAATCACAATCAAATAGGTCAGTTATTCTAAATTTAATATTTGATAAATCTTTTGAATGAAGAATAAATGAATTCCCGGATAATTGAAACGGATATGATAAAGAAAATGTGTTTAAGTTGATGGATAAAATGTTTTGTATTGATGGGTAAGAGTTAGGGTCTAATGTTTGATGTGAAAATCTCATTGGGGTATTAACTTTATCACATTTGATTAAAATGAAATTGGAACCAGTGTCAGAATACAAAACATCCCCAACATCTTTTTCAAAATTTAATATCCCCAACAATGAACGAAGGTGAGGAGTACAAAATTTAATTTTCAGCGGGAATTTAATAAGGTTATTTATTTCATCAAGTTCAAAAAGTTTTTCAGGTTTTGATTTAAAATTTTCTTCATACCATACGATAAATGATTCATTTAAATAACTTAAAATCATGTTAATATCCCATTTCGCTATCACATTATTTATATACATATCATACGTTTTTTCATGGTCATCTTTAATAAATGATATATAATCTGAAGGGTCTAAAAGAATGGGATTAAATTTACCACTCACAGAAACGAGAGTAACATTATAAATTCCACTAACTGTTAAATTTAATTCACAACTATTATTCGAAATAATATTGATAATTGACATTTTTATTACGATTAAAAATATGGTAAAGCGTTATTTTCCAGTGATAAATAAAACTAGAATAAGATTACCTCAAGAATTCATAAATTCAACGAATAAGAAATTCATTCATGTTATAAATTTTAGTGTTTTCAGAAAATATGAGTCAATGTCATATTCATCATCAGGTTATATTTCACTTCATTCAAATTTAGTTCAATCAAACCCATATAATGACCATTTCATAAGATTTTTCAGATGGTATTAAAAATGTAATGATGATAGATTAAAATATGAATAGATTGACAATATCGAATTTTTGGAATTTTGGTTTAAATATCCTGATGGAAAAAAGATTGAAGTTAAAGATAAAGCTGATACTATAACAAAAACAATTACAATGACTGATCCAGATAGTGGGAAACAAAAAGAAATAAAACAAACGATAGAAACTGGTGAAAGGTCAATTATTATTGATTATGATTCAAAGGATTATTATTCGATAATGTTAATGCTTGAATATTAAATAGCCTTAACAAAGAATTTTTCAAGTGATATTTTATATTCATCAACTATTTTATTATAAATATTGTTATATGTTAAATGAAGTTCAGTTGTTGTTCCATTCTTTGATATCTTAATTGTGCTAATATCCTTTATAGGATTTATTTTTGCAACTGTTCCGCAGCATGAAACCTCATCATCTATGAAAAATTGAATCTTAACGTCTGAATCTTGAACATCACAAAGAATGGCGATAATGTGAATTAATGATTCATAAGGTAAAATAATTAAACCGGATTGGTCAATTAAATTTATTATTGAATCATAATTATTAATTATTATATCACGGTAAATTTTCATTAATTCAGAATTAATGTCTATTTTATATGGGTTCTCGATGTTTGATGAAAGAGGTGGGGGGTATGTTGGATAAGTGGGAATTTCAACAGGTTCTTTACCAGGTTCAGATAAAATGATTGGGTCTCCATTCTCATGGTTTTCTTCATTCTCCTCATTCTTCGGTAAGTCACGAGTTAATAAATTTGGTTGAGTTGCTGACCTTGTTAATTCAGGGCTAACATTAACTTTAACATTTTGAATAATTCGTGATTTATCATCATTTACGTTATAACCAACCGTAATCTCTGCTTTTGCGTTAGTGTTCTTTTGACTAGTGAAACGTCTTCTCATTTATAATCGAATAAAAAAAATATATTTAAACTTTTATTTTGCTGGAACTTTTGAATCTATTATTCCCTGTATTTGTTCATGAAGTTGATTTTTAGCTGTTTCATCGAAATTAATAGACCGAATATATTCATTAATTGCATTCTTATAATCATCTGATTTCTCAAATTTTCTTTTATCTGATTCCTTAACTAAATCATAAGTTAAACCTCGTTGCTGATATAATGGTTTCTTAATTAAATCTTTGAATGCTTGAGATAAAGCACCTGATGCAATTCTTGCTACTATAATTGGTTGGAATTGCTGTTTAAGTTCATCTTTAACATTTGCGAAAACTGGATCGAATAAAGCAACTTTAAAGAATTTCTTAGCTGAAATTTCAGGTCTAATATTTGCATATTGACCATCAAACTGGTTAGAATATCGTGGTAATCCATCCGGTCCCTCTTCAATAGCATTTAATTCGTCATTGAAATAAGAATATGGATTATGACGGTATGAATTAATTGGACCATTTTCACCTTCTCCAATGTACTGTTTAACAGCTTTTCCATTTTCATCAAATTGCATAGGATAATGTTCATTATATGCTTTACGTTTAGGATAATCAGATATAGTTAATTTATAACCATTTATGACTTTAATATTACCTTGACCATCAGTAACGAAAACTTCATTTATACCATCAGGTTTTCCATTTGGACCCGTAATGTCTGCTTCGTGTGCTTCCCAATTTGGACCATGACGTTTGGCATATGCTTGAGCTTCTGGTAATGTTAAAACATTTCTCATTTGTTTAACATCTTTTTGAAGACCAGCAACAATATGAACTAATTCTTTCATTCCATCGGGAACTTTCATGGTTCTATTATATGCACCCCTTTTGTTTGTCCCTTGTTTTAATGGAACCTGTAAAAGATTTGCTATTTCTGTCATGTTTAATTATAAATAAAAAATAAAAATTAATTATAAAAAGTTAATCAAATTTAACACCTCCTTTATTTAAATCAACTATTATTTTTCCATGTTCACCTAATTGCTGATATTGTGTGTAAAGTTCATTAATGCTCATTGGTAAATTCACTTGATAAAGCATAACGTTCAACTGTTGACGACTAAACCCACTGAAAATGAAAAGTGTTGATAGATTTGATTTAATGTTTGTGCTTAATGCTTTGAAATATTGAACAGCCATAAAGAATGAACACTGAATGTGTCGACATTGAGTTAATAACTGATTAAAATATGATTTCTCATTTGTTATTAGTTTTGATTTCACTGCATCATCTAGAAAAATGAGTGAATGCAAAAATTCTTTATCAAAATTTGAAATGGAAAGTGTTTCAAATAATTCATCCCGTTGTTTATCAATAATTTTATCCTCTAATCCTTGCTTCTTGATTGTATTATATAATTCTTTATACATTAAAAAGTTTTTTAAATAATCTTCTGCTTCTTCTTGTGATAAATAAATAATTGGAATTTTGATTAAATGCTTTAAAGATTCAAATGTATCATCTGAAGGTGAACCTGAACGGTTGATATAAATTAACACATGTGAATGGGGGGAAGTGTTAGCAATAATGATAATTTGTTTTAATATCGTTAATGTTTTACCTTTATTTTGTTTACCAATTGCTGCAGTGATTGAATTTAAGTAACATTCAGAATATGGAATTTTCATTAATTTTTCCTTAGATAGAGCATTTCTATTATCACTCAATGCTTCATTAATCATATCATCTACGTATGTATTATATACTCCTGCTAATTCTTCATAAGGGGTGGATGAATTTAAATCCATTTAATCAAAATAAATTTATAATTTTAAACATTTCTATTCATCAATATTTCATCATATGAACTTCTATACTGCGGTGGTGTACCTGTTGGATGATATTTCAAACCTTCATCCGGTGTCCATGTCCAATATGTAGTCCTAGTAAACCAAACCTGAGGAGGATTTGTCACCTTTGAACAGTAAGTGTCATTTTCACCCTGAATGATTGGATAAGCTTTCACTTGTACTGTAACTTGTGAGTTGAAAGTTTCTAATCCATCAAAGAATATACCCGCTCCATCACGTTGAACTGGAATAGTGCATATGAAGTTTGGTCTTTCCATGTTCTAGCTAATGGCGTGCCATCATCTGCATTCAATGGTCTAGTTAATGAGTCCTCGTATTCTTCCGTGCATTCATTCACTCCATCTAAATCAGAAGCTTGAAGCATACGTGTAAAGAATATGTCACCCACTGTGGTCATCGCTTGATCGGGGAAGTTTCTGGAATCTATAGTGACCTGAAGACCTCGAAGCATTGGATTTTCTAAAACTGTTCTTTGCATTGCATTCTTCGGAAATGTTAACACAACATCTGTAACATTATGAAGAGCGTATGAGAAATCTGAGCTAATACCTTCAGGAGTGATGCATCCTCCATTTAGTGAACGAACGTCAATATGTTGAGCTGGAATCATGAATGGATCTTCCTTACTGAATAAACGTGGTATTGCTTTAACTGATTCTTCAATTAAACCATATCCTGGTGTAATACATTTATCCTCTAAAACTTCCATCTTTGTGCATGAAATAATAACGTCATCAACTGTTGCGTCAGCAGATGTAGCAGCTAAGCTTGTAATTAATTTGGTAGGAAGTCCGATTTGTTGGAATTTGCGATCATATTTATAAACATGATTCATAATCTTTTCATAATTTTCATCAGTTATCTTTTCAAAAACGTAATTTTGTAAATCAGCAACTCTTAACGGGTCAACCTGATAAAATACTAAAGTATCCCTGAAAACATAATATTTAAGAATGATATCACCAAATGATTTAGGATAATCATCGAACGCCTGAAATGCTAACAAATCATTTACCGGAATAATCATATCAAAAGTGATATCAACTTCTTCATTTGCTTTCTTGAAAACTTCTGAAGGGTCAATATATTTACCACATACTGAGTTATCATATTTTTGAACATTATTATATAACGAATGAACAAACTTTTTAACTTTCCTTTCTGATTTTGGTTTATATGTTGCAAATGCGAAAGATTCACGGGCGCAATCCATCTGAAGATAACCGGCATCACCTCTTTCGGTTTCTACTTCTAATTGTTTAAAGCTTTGATTTGATGATTTGTAACCAACGAATAAACGCATGCATTTAAAAGCGGCATCACATGTGAAAGCTTTATTTGAAACTAGAGTTGCTTTAACTTTGTGTTTAATATATGTGTCACCTAATTGGTTCACATCATGAGCTGGATTTGTAATTCTTAAATGAGTTTGTTTATCATCAAAATATGGAGCATCAGAGTCATAGCATGAACTTTCAAGTTCTCTATAATATCTTCTTCCGTCATTCTTTGCGAATATTTCATTTATCTTTTCGAATGAATGAAACACATTTCCATTAATTGGTTTAGTGTTTGGCACTAAATAGTTAGTCGTCATTTATTAATAAATAAAAAAATCAAAATTAAAAGATGTAAATGAATTTTTAATTTTAATGAAATAATCAACTATGGCTGCAGGTATATTTAAGAAACTGTGGGATAGAGTAAAAAGAGGAGCGAGTAAAGTTTGGGAAACATTGAAGAAGGGAGCAAATTGGATATTTAAGAATAAAGAAGCAATTAGTGACGTAGCTGAATCAATAACACCAAAAGCTGCACCAATAAGAGAAATTTTAAATAAAGGAGAAAAAGTTTATCAAAGACTACAACCGATACTAAGATAAAAATAATATTTATTTTTTCCACTATCTACCTCCTATTTTATTAAGTATTCCTTCAGCAATTCCACCAATTGCGTTACCTGCTTGTGCTCCCATTGCCGGATTACCTGCTTTAGTACCTAATACTCCACCTATGATAGTTCCTGCCGTTTTCGCTACTGGTGCCAAAAAGTTTGCAACAGGTTTAATAACCTTTTTATAAACCCAACCTGCGGCTTTCTTAATTCCATCCCATAATTTTTTAAAGAATCCTGCCGCCATTTCTGATTTAATATTAATTAAAAAATATATTTCATCACTTATATTCTAATTTTTATTTAATGATAAATGAAACCGATTTTAAAAATAAATGAAACAGAGGAGGATGAAATAAATGAAAGTGAAAATGTTCAACAAAAAATAAACGTTGTTAAACCAATTACTGAAATAAAAATTTTTTCATCTGTTGAAGAATTTAATGACTATTATGCTAATAATAAAAAATTATTTGAAGAATTGACAACGTGTAAATTGAATAAAATGTTTAAAGTTGATGGATTCAAAATTTCAAAAATAAAAGGAGTGGTTAGTTTGAAATCTATTCCTCAATCAAGAATCACCTCATTAATGAAAATAGATGATTTAACAAAAAGAATAGAAGAGATTGAAGAAAGAATGAATCAAATAATTGATTTCATAAATTCAAATAATCATTAGTTTCTAATTTCTTTTTACCCGTTTATGAGGTCTTTGTTTATGACTTCATTGATTCCATTCAGGATTTAAACAATGTTTAATTAATCACGGAATATCTAACATCATCTATATATAGCTTCTTTTATAAAAGATAAAATAAATTATTTTAAAGTTTATTTTTTAAAAAAATTTTATTTTTTATTTCATTATGTATGGGCTGAGTGTAAATGTCTTACAATTTTGAAAATTTTTTAAATCTTGATTTATTCAAAAACGTAAGAATAAAAACCGTAAGAATCATACATTTTTTACTTCATATGTTAAAAAAATGATACAAAATCGCTCGATATTGTATGAATTCTTACGTTTACAAAAAAAGTCACAAAACCCGTCCACATATACTACTAAGGATCTACAACTAGTTTAAGGGTGCACCCGTATGTACGTTTATTTGAGAGGAGGAGGATTACCCTCTCAATTTTGAGGGATTCGTTAGTTTATTTTCTCGATGAATATGCAATAAAATTTGATTTTTACCTTATCAATATACTTCATATAATATACACATGTTCATGTAAAAACTTTTTTCCAAAATCCTCAGGAATTAAGGGATTTTTGAATTTTAAGAATTTTTTTCGAATTTTTTCGAAAAAAAAAATATTTTCAGAACAGCCTTAACGGCTAAGATTTAGGAACAATGTTAAGTATCAAAAAGAAAGGAGGTCTGATATAGACAACATATATCGTTGAAGGTTGAAAAAATCTCTAATATTTGAGCCCAAAATTTCAAATTTTAATTTTTTGAAAAAAGAGGCCACCCGTATGTACGTTTATTTGAGAGGAGGAGGATTATATTTTTGAAAGGGTGAAACATTATGAATATGTTAATTATATAATAATATGTATTATTATAAAAAAGAAAAAATAAAGCACGTTAAAATTTTTCTTTCTTGATTTTTTACAAAATCTACTTAGAATTATGCAAAATATGACTAAATAATTATAAATTTCAAGTTAAATTTTAATTTTGATAAATAATTTAAATTTCAAAATATCAAGTTCAGTTCGACTATGTATGTAGTAATTCCTCAATAAAGTGCCAAAACCCTATTAAAATATATGAACATTTTCAACATTTTAATGTTTTTATTTAAAAATTTGATGGAATATGAGCTTCAAACAATTATTATGTAAATAAAAATAATTAAATATATGTATTTATTCGTATTACAACCGTAGTAAGTCGATTCTTCCTTTCTTCTACTGAGATTTGAATTTGATTTCGAATTGTAAAGAGATTCAAAGGGAAAATACTAGCGGATAAAAACTAACTCCATGAAAGCGTCATAATGGAGTCAAGTTGTATTTTTTGATATTTTTTGCTTTTCGAGCCTAAATAGGTAGCCAAGATAATGCCTAAAAATAAGGTTCTAAATTCTGAAGTTTACATGATCCTCTCGTGTGCACCCTTAAGTCCCTTTTGCAAAATGTTACTCATATAATTTGAATCTGAGGCACGCTAATTTTTGAGAGCATCATTTGTAATGAATTGTAGACAATTTGGTAACCATGAATTCATGAGTTCTCTCACGTAATTAGCAACTGTTGCTTACGAATACAGAACACATTTTTTCTACAACAATTTCAGGTGAATGTTGTTTCTCTATCATTATTGGCCAACGAACTAAGAGCAAGCCCGTTACGATTAGAATTATCATTTTCAAATGTATGTCAAATATATATTTTGAAAATTTTTGTTAATAAGTTTAAAATTTGAAATTCTCTGGATATCATCACTATTATTCCGAAGACTTTTATATTTTCATATCTTTAAATTACACATTTTTTTTTCTTACTCTCTTGAGAGAGACGCATAAAATTTCAATGATCCAATTCAGATGCCTTTAAATATGCAAAAAACTTTAATGAATCATTGATGTAACGTTAATTCTATCATCATGGTTTTGATTCAAAAGAAAAACAATAAAAAGACTTGAATTTTGTGTTCGGTTTGGAAGACTTTAATGAAAAAATCTTATATTCAACACAATACAGTTGATTTTTTCCATTCCTTATAAGTATTATTTTACATCGATAATGAATGGGATGTTTTTCTGATCCTTATAATATTATTTATATTATATGACCTATAAAACAATTCTATTGATCTTGAATCAAGAATTACAGGGGCATAACAGGAAATTTGTTTGTGATATGATGAAAAATGAATACAATAACTAAATATTTCGAAATTTATATGAGAGATTAGTGATTTCTTCTTATTGACAATGGTTCTTGAATCTTTTCCAAGGCTTGTACCCAATAAATTGGGTGTCACTTTTTGTGACAGATAATTACTATAAAATCTTTCTTATACAAATATTAGATAATATCTTTTATAAAAAATTTTTGCCTCAAAATTTGAAAGAATTAAAAATTTTGTATGACTGGATCTGAAATTATAATCTATTATTAACACCATTGTAGTTTCGAATATCTAAAAATTAATGAAAAGGCCGTTGAAAAGAATTTTATATATTTCACATAATGTTTGCTTTCCTACTTCTCAAATCTTGTATATCAAAAGATGTCATCATAGCAGAGAAAGGGATGAAAGGTTTTAAGTGCATGTATCCAGCCAAATCTGATAAAAATCCAGATGTTTGGCGATATTACCACGGATGTGATGAGTTATCTAAAGGCATGCTAAAGATCACAGGCTCTAAGATGGACATCATCACAGACGCTAGTAACGAGACTCAAAACCTCATTTTAGTAGGTCCAACAAAACTATCACCCAAAAATCAATACACACCAACCGAGAAAGGCATTGACTTTTTCGAAATCCGATTTCATAATGGTAACCTTGCTATCACAGGAAATTGGTATGGTTTTCTGTACGGATGCTTTGAATTACTTGAAAAGTTTGGTGGTGTTCGATTTTACACCAGTTGGATGTATGTATATCCACCAGCAGATACATTTAAAGTTCCCGAAGACGTTAATATAATTTCGAAATCTCCATTTATTTTTCGCGAATTTTGGTCTACAGATTTCACATACACGAACTGGCTTGAGAAATCACGCGGAAATGTATACATGTCAGAATATTACGGTTGTGAGTCATTTGGTCCTTTAATGGTATCAGATAAATATCCATTAGACAAATATCCATCACGATTTGCTCTACTTAGTAACGGTCAAAGATCCGGTTGGGTTCCATGTTTATCCGATGATTTAACGTTTCAAATTTTTATGGAAAAAATTTTAGCAGATTTACGTAAAAGAGAAGTTTATTTAATTGATGTCAGCCAATCCGACACAAACGATCATTGTTTATGTGAACGATGCATGGCGAAGTTCCATCAATACGGTGATCGTTATTCTGGCGTCAATTTATGGTTCATTAATAAAATTGCTACAGCATTAGAAAGCGAATTTCCAAATGTTTTGATCAGAACATTTGCATGGGCATTTACACTTGATGCTCCAAAGAATATCAAAGCTCATAAGAATGTTATCATCAGAATTACACCAATTATGAATGATTACGGACATCCATTTGATGGAAACTTTACAGAAGTCAACAGACATCTTATTAAAGAAATCGAAGCATGGAAGAGTATTGCAAATCGTTTCTACGTATGGGAATATTCAACAAACTTCCCTCATATTATGAGTTTCCATCCTAACTATCATACAATTGCACCAAATATGAAAATGTATGCAAGATACAGATTCAAAGGTGTTGGTTCACAAGATGCAAACCATGTATTTGTTAATCCACAAGGTCAATATATTCCACGTTTCCACAGTGATATGCAAGAATACAAAGCATATTTAACAATGAAATTGTTGTGGGATCCAGAACAAGATGAAGAATATCTTGTTAATGATTTCATAAATGGATTTTATGGTCCTAGTGCTGCACCTTATGTTAGACAGATTCTTGATGACACAAAGAATCTTATGTTTAATGATTACAAGAATTATGAATTGCAAACACATCATGATGCACGTATTTGGTTCATTCCACAAGAATACATTGATCATCTCAAGAATCTTTGGGATTTAGCAATTAAAGCAAGTGAACTTGATAGAAAGAAAGATCCTAGATATATTTATAACACGAAGATGAGTCAATTATCAACTCTTTACACACAATTCATGATCTACAAAGATCAAACAGTTAAACCATATATCAAAGATGGAAAAGTTTACATTGGTGGCAATGAAAAACTTACATATGCTGCTAAAACAATGATGGAAAGATGTCCAGGACCATTTGTTATCAATGAGACATCTAAAGGTGCATGTGCATTCACATTCAGTCCAGGTAATGATGCATCAACACGCACACTCATTAAACAGTATTCAGAAGGTGTTTATGTCGATGTAATAAAGAGTGGCGACATCACAGCAGTTTCAGCAGGAAAATCAGTTATTGATGGCAAAATTATTTCATTGAAGAAAGGAAATACAGAGTTCTTACATAGCGATGAAGGAATTTACTTCTGTTATGTAACAACATCTGCTGGTATTTATCAACAATATTCACTTGACCATCAGCTCAAAGGAAAGACAGAATTAACAGTTACATATACTGCAGGATCAACAGCGAAGAATTACATTTCAACGAAGAAATACACGGCAACAAGTGAAGGAATCAATTTTGATGTTCAATACACTCGTACTGGTGATTTCAAAGAGATGCGTCCAATTATGATGGTTACGTTAGATCTCAATGATGGTACATTTGTTGGTTATAAGATTGGAAACAAAGAATGGAAGTCACATCAATTGATGAACAACATGGAATTCGATCATTGTGGTGGAACATTAGATGGAATTGGAGAAGTCACAGTTATTGATCCTGTAAGTCGTAAAGGTGTTGAAATCAAAGTTCCAAACTATTTTGAGTCTGTTGTTATCCACATGAACCGAACATCACAAAAGGTCCGTCTTTCATTTGTTGGCAACTATATTTCAGAAACTAAATATTTTGTTGTTGATCACCACTTCGAGATTCATCCATTTGAAAAATACATCAATGCTCCATCATTCACTAAATCATTTGACAGCACAACACATGATCCAAAGATCAGATATGGATATGCTAAAGGTGATAAATTTATAATCCCAGACTTTATGTATAATTACGGAAATAGTAAAGATCAACTGAGAAGTGTTTCAGATCCATTGTCATTTACAGGAGTGAGCATGGAAGTTGGTCATTCAGGATGGCCATTAATGTACTTGAATCCACAAAACAAATATCCATATTATTTCTTTAAACATGGATCATACAGTGCAAATATGACAGTTAGATGTGTTGGACCGACAAAACAGAATCCAGCATATGCTGTTTATGGATACAGTCATCATTACGATTCTAATTATGATTTCTGGTTCATAAATCCAAATGATTTCGGAGATGGTTACAAAGTTCTAAAAATGCCAAAGACACTTGTGAATCACAGAGTTGAATATGGTGTTATTAACAAACCAAACTGCTGTGAACATATGTATCTCAGCGACTTTTCTTTCATTGTTGAAGAACCTCCAACTCCAGATCCAGTGAAATCTTGGCCAGAACAAAGCCTCAACAAAGTGAAACTCACAAATCATTCTGATTCAAGTATGAACGGAAATCATTCAAAGAAATGGATTCCAGCAGTAATTTCGGTTGTTGCAATCATTGTTATTGCTGCAATTGTAGTCGGTGTCATTTTCATTGTTAAGAAAAAGAAGTCTAACGGTTCAAATGCAGGAGAAGAGAGAAACGAAATTCACTTGAGTGTTGCATAATACTTATTTAATATATACATGAAATTTAAGTAAATATTTACTTTTAATTTGCGCGAATCATCTTATTTTAAATATGTGATGATGATGATGATGGATATATGATTGAGAGAGTGCACAAATATTAAGGATGTATTTATTGCATAGTGTTTATTTATGATAAATATTCATAAAACACCTCTTCAAAAAATGAAATTCTTACGCTTACGATTATTTTTGATTCAAATGCTGTTCGGCATTAAAAGCAAAAATAATCATAAGCATGAGAATCACACTTTTGTTGCATTTTTAACAGGCTTCACGCCTGCTATAAAGCGTACCAAAAGTGTAAATTTAAGTTTATTTAGTGAAATATTCAGAAAATCCTTCTTCAAAAAATGAACTACCCAGATTTTCCTTACTTTTACCACTCCCCATGTAATTTCTGGGGAAAACGATAATTCATTTTTTTTATGGATGAATAGATCGTTTTCCTCGAAAGGACCTCATATCTCTGGCTAAAAAGAGTGTCAGATCCTAAATAGGTTATTGATCTAGTGTACAAATCCAATAAAAAGCCTATTTTTTGGCTTTTTTGGTGCTCATTTTTTCGAAGATCTACATGAATATGGGGAAACCATCGGATTTTTTTGGTTAACCCACATCTTCATGTAGTCTGGACTATCTTTCCTCGAAGGACCTCTTTACGGGTGTAAAAACTCATAAAGTTCTCAAAAGATTCATTCTCGATCTCCATGCTGAAAGAATTTACAATAAAAAAGAGATCTACGCATCAAACTACAGCCATAAATGAACTGAACCCCTAAAGCTCAGCTCTTAGTTTATCAAAAACGTCGAAATCCTTCTCATTGCAATCAAATTTTCTCAATAACTCATAAGAAAAATCGAATTTTGATTAAGCCGATGTTATAGGTATCACAAATACTACAAACTTGAGCAATATCGAAATTGCCAGCAAAAGTTTGAAATTGCATTGCTCATATTTGTTTTGTAAACTAAAAATCTGCTTATATTATTCATTAATTTTTTATATATTATTCATATACTTTAATAAAAACAATACTATTTCACCTTAAAAATGAATTTCATAAGTCAATATTATTTTTTTGAAAATGTATCAATTTTCGATTAAAACAACATGAGAATAAAATTTACGCAAAATTATTTTAAAAAATGGTTTTAAAAATTTACAATTGATTAAGAATAAGATTGTAAGAAGTTTTGAAGTTTAATTTTAAGAAAAAAAATTCGGATATTATTCATGGATCTAAGTAATCTGATATTTGAGTATCGGCACTATGCATAAAACATATATTTATAGTTTTTTTTGAGTTTTATGATTTTAAATATATTCAAATTTGGCAATCCAATAGATTTTTAAAAAATAGGTAAATAAAAATAGATTACATATGCAGAGATTTAGAACATGAAACAAATCTTATAGTGACCCAAAAAAAAATTCATGATCCAAAAAAGAAAAAAATTGGCTAAATGGGAATAAAACCTTGGCATAATGAATCATTATGTCAGATGTTTTCACTACACTACACCGGCAGTTCGAAAAATACCCTTGGTGGTTCTATTTAATAGCTACTCCCAACGATAGGCGGTGTCCCCAGCTTTAGAGAGGTGGTAAAAGTAAGGAAAATCTGGGTAGAAAGACATTTAAAAATAGTAATCTGAATCTTAATGTGTTTGATCTTTGTTCGTTGGTTAATGATGAATGAGAAACAACATTCACATGAAATTGTTGTAGAAAAAATGTGTTCGAATTCGTCTGTTTTTGATAATTCTGTGTTTAATTTAGATGTAGATCCTTTGATATCTACAATACTGTGGATTAAATAATAGACTTTATTATTTGTATAAAATGTGTTTGTTGCTGTGTTGTTCTTAATGATACTATCGATTATAGATATATCATGAAAATATATATAAAATAATCGATTTGTTACTTTATTATTCAAAAAATTAGATTTTATATATGAATATGGTTGAGATCCACTAAATAAAATGCAATAATAAGATGTTGCTGAATTGTTTATGAATGATGTTTGTGAAATATTTCCTGGAAAATTTGTCAATTCAATGAAAATTCCACAATGTTGATAAGTTCTGCAATTAGAAACGTTTGCATTATTTATAATAACTTCACCATTACCATGATGAATTGGTGAATATCCATATCCTTGTGATTGACCTAAATCAGAATATGAAGAAAGATAATTGTAATTTTTGTATTTAATGGTACTATATTGGGAAAGTATATAGCAATGTTGTCCATATTGACTTGAAGAACAATTATATGAACAAATTTTGTTTTGAACAAAATCTAATTTGGCTCTTATGTAAATATTTCCGCCATATCCGCTATACCCATCTTTTGTTGAGGTACTTCCGATATGATTCGAATGAAATAATGATGATTCAAGAAGAATTTTGATTGAAGTTGTTGAACTTTGATAGAAGTCAATGAATCTGGATCCTTTTGATGATGTAATATCTGAAATGTAATACTTATAAGGATCAGAAAAATCAGTTCTGTTACGTTGATCAAAAGTGTTTTCATAGAACTCTTCCCAACTGAATACAAAATTCAAGTCTATTTATGTTGATTTCTTTTTGAATAAGATGATTCTTGGATATCGGAATTGTGTAATCAAATTGGTTCTCTTAGGATCTGAATCCTAAGTAATATTTATCCGATTTGAAAACATTGAATTGTCACTTTTTATCAGATTTTTCACAAACAAAAATTTTTCATCCGGCCACTAATTAATCAAAAAATCGATGCAGTTTCTATCAAAATTTAAAAATTCATGAATACCATTCTTATAATATCAATGTCAGAAAATTTGAACAAAATGAGAAAATATTTAGGCTTTATTTTTCCATTAAACTTAGGATACATAAGTTTTACATCATAGATAAAAGATTATTTGATGTTTTTATTTTTCATACACCGATAGCAAAGTTTTCAATTTTTGTTTATGATGGATGGAATTTTGACGTTTTTTCCTACTGAAGTTGACTTTGGAGTGAAGCCAACTTCAGAGCGACCTTTTCATAAAGAGATACTTTTTACAAATAGCTACACAAAGACAGTTTCAGTAATTTTTCAAGGAACAAACGATGAAATCTTTTTTATTAAAAGTAATCAACAATTAGAAAGGCAAAGATCTACACATTTCGATATATTTTCACAAGTCCCTCACATAACAAACTTCATTATCCCTCCAAAAACTTCAAAAGCTTTAGCAATTGTCATGCATATGGGATCTAAAGGCAAAAACGCCCAAGAAATCTCAGGAAACATCAAAATGAATTGTTATCTTATTGATACAGCCACTACTTCCGATGATGAATACGCAGAATTCGATCCTGACGAAGAAGACGCTCCTTGGAGGACATTTGAGTTACCATACAAGGCAAAAATTATCGAACCAACCATAGAAATCATACCACATACGATCTTTTTAGATGAATGTTGCAAAGATCAGCCTACAACTACAAGATTTTCAATTAAGAACACTAGCCCATTAGATCTTACAATACTAACTTATCCGCAGAACTGGATACGTTTAATTAGCTCCAAAAACACTAAATGTTTTAATCTTTCCTCAGACGAAGTTGCTCAGTTCGAAGTAACTTATCTCCCGCAAAATACAGGTCAGTTCGATCATCGGATCGAATTTGCATTAGGAGGAGTCATTTCCAAACCTTATAATTTCAGAATTTTATCATCAGTCTCTCCAGCTAAAATCCCCGCAGATTTTCCACAATTTACACCTAGATTAGTCGATTACGGTGATATGAGGACTAATGACTCTAAAGAAGTTGTTATTCAAATCACAAATCCATCACAGCTTGATTACACTTGCCAAATCGGCTCATTCAGTGAGAGCTTCAAACGCGAGCCATTGCTGTTCAAGACAGCCCTCAGATCTCAGTTGGAAAGGCAAACAACCGTTGTATTAAATTCTCAATCAACAAGAACTATTTATGTACACTATACTCCAACGTATAATGAAAATGCATCACCAGGAACCTTCGAAAAACGAGCTTTCGTCGTTACTTTGACTTACAAATTATCAAATAACGGATCTGTTTTTTACAGAAGGATTCCAGTCACTGCAAACATCTGCCATTCCTTTATACATGTTCCCAACACCGTGGTGAACTTCGGAGATATTCCTGTATTGAGAGAACCGAGACATTCTTCAATTCGTGTCCAAAACATATCACCGATGCCAACTTCGATATCGGTTATATCGACCAGCCGATGGATAGCCTTGTCCCAGTCAAAATTTGAATTACAACCGTTACAAACAATAGATTACAATTTTTCTTTTTATCCTTATAAGGTTAGCCCTGATTTCGGATGCGCGATCAAGTTTACCAATGATAGCAACTCTCTCAACGAAGTTTCAGTGACAATTTCCGCTGCAGTTTTATGTGATAATGATGAAGTCACTCATTCGAACTATTATTCACTTATAAGTGATGGCAAGGCCATACATTCACTTGATTTCAACTTCGTGTCCGCAAATTTCCCTGCAATTAAATCATTGACGATTAAAAACACTTCTAAAGAAGTTATTAAGATGTCAATCAAATCATCAACACCGCAATTGCAGCTTTATGAGGAAATTTTCGATCCAAATGACTTAATTCACTCTACATCGACATCATCAATTTCTTCAATGCAAATTGAGCAGCCACCAGAGATGTCAATACAAGGAGTGAACTCAATAAAGCAATTGTCGATGACGATGAACCAAAACAGCAGCTTTTTCAACAATATGTACCTTTATGGAACGGAAAAGTCCGACGCTGACATCTGTTTGTTCTACGAGAGACAATTAGAGGCATTTTCAGACCTTAAAGAGAAGTCTCTGAAAGGAATTTTGGAATCAGAAATCGAAATTACTCCAGGAAACAGAATTAACCTTTGGGCAGTCCTTATTCCTGAACCATCTGAACAATGCATGCATTGGACCCACCAACGATGCTATTTCGAGTTCGATTTGTTATCCGTAAAATCAAGACCGCCTCCACACACTGTTTACGTTAGATACAACATCAGCACCTCACAGACCTTCTTAACATCCCATCATTTGAACTACGGGAACCTTGTTCGTAAGACAATTAAAGAGAATCAGATTTATTTACTAAATGAATCCGCAATTCCTCTTTTATACAAATTGGAAACTCAACCAGACTCCTATGTCTCCATCCTCAAAGGCCAGCGAGGCATAGTTCCGCCTCTAGACTCCAGATCAATTCCAATTAGATTCGAAACTCCTGTTGAAGGTAACGTAAACGATATCGTTATCGTCCGAAATATTCTTAATCCATTAGATGTCCAAGAGATCCATTTCAAAGCATGTGTTGAGAGAAGAGCCGGTTTCTTTGTTGATCCATTAGAAATAGATTTCGGAGAAGTCACTTTTGGATCATCTGCCACTGTTTCTATCTATATAAAGAACATCAGGGAAGAAGAGTCAGAGTACACGTTCAGCCATTACCATAGGGACAATCAGATCATGAAACCAATGATCAGTTTCCAGTACAAAAACCTTTCTGAATCACATCTTTCCGCAGCTGTTGAACTACAAATCGAAAAACAGCACAGAAAATTACTTTGTCTCAAAAGAAAGAAAAAGATGCAATACGCGGAAAAAATCCAAAAAATCATTGATAACTTGAAAAAGAAATCACTTCCAACGGAGAATTCGATGAAGAGATCAACAGCAAAGTCAATAGATCGATACCAACTGCAATCCGCAAGTTTGCAAACACATTGTATCGATATACAGTTCATTCCTGTCTTGAAAACTAAAAAACAAATTCAAGACAATTACGTAATTGAAGGAACGATAACTGTTTCAGAGGATAACCGTCAGAACACATCAAAAGACATCAGATACAAAGCCATTGTCAAACCACAGAGACAAACACATTCATTGCTGGATGAAAGTGGAGATAGAACAATTTGTTTGACACCAAATCATTTGGATTATGGAACAGTAACAGTTCAAACCGTTTACTCCAAAAACATCGAGATAAAGAACTTGAGCACTAACAATTCCACGAGATTTTGGATATCTAGTGATACTTCAGACGATGCAATTCTTTCTTTCGGAGTGAATGAAGGCCAATTAAATCCAAATGAATCAATAAATGTACCTGTTGAATTGATTTGTTTGACAACAGGAAACAAGGAAAAATTGATAACAATAACTACTCCTACTTCTTCCGTTTGTTGTCATATCAAATTGGAAGCTGTTTATCAACCTCTTCTTTCATTCCCAACATTGCCTGTTACAAAACAAATTGATTTCGGAGCAATCCCGTTGACAAGTTGTTTAACTGTTGAAGAAAGACAAAGTTTCGATATTGTCAACACTTCTAATTCAATCCTCTATTTGGTTGTGACAAATAAATGTCAACAACACGTAACAATTTACGAACACGATCCAAGTTTTCCAATCGTAAATTACTTGACAATAAATCCAACTCAAACTTTGAATATAAACATAAGATTGAGGCCGGAACTGGATATCGATTCCTACAGAAGATATTCAACATTCACTTTGATAGATTCCATTAAAATCTCCGTATATTACGATCCAGATGATGCTTACAATGGTTTCGTACATCAAAGTGAAGATATAAGTGGATCAGTCTTCCAAACAGAAATTCCTGTAACCGCTTTAATCGGAAGAGTCGGTTTGACGATAAACGAAAAAACCGTCGATTTCGGATGTTGCAAGAGGAACACTATATTGAGTCATAAATTGTTATTGAAGAACAAAGCAAGCCATATTCCTCTTGAAGTCATTACGACATGCGGACAAAGTCTTTCAACAACATTTAATTCATTCAGTTTAGTTGGATCGAAAGAATCAAAGGAACCGAAAGAAATTGAGTTCAATTTCAAACCGACTGTTGAAGGTGTTAATACAGGAAAGATAACATTTGCAATTAACAATGTTAGTTTGCAATACGATGTTGATGTTTTCGCATTCATTGATCCTAATTCCATCGAAATAAATCTTCCAAGAAACGAATTAGGTTATTATGTTTATGATTGCGGTGAAATCTTTTTAGATCAAAATAAGGCTATTTCTAAACGTGTCAGTTTCACAGCGAAAAACATCTCTAACATGGCAATAGGAGGTGTTATTCCTGAACTAGAAAAGAACTTCATGTTGAGACCTGGCCAATCTACAGAGATTTCTTTCGATTGTCCTTTCTCTAACAATCATAATCAACAAAACAACGACCAAACATTTTCCCAGATTTTGCAGTTTTGCGGCAGAATAACGAAAACTGTTCAACAAGTTGTTTATGTTGTTGGAAAGTATGTAACATCTGTTGCAACTGTTTCTCCAATTGTTGATTTGGGAATTATAGTTACAAGCAAATTGGAAAAATCGTTTATGAATTTCCAAGTGATAAATACAACTTACGGAGATTTATTCTTGGATTTAACGAAGGGATGTCCTTATTTCGATCTTCCTTCTTCTATTGGCCCTGTTCCTAAGTTCAAAGAGGTGTCAATCGTTGCGAAAGCAAATGAAAACGCTTTCCAAAACGATATAGAATCAGGACACAAGAATTTCACTGTTCAATATGTTAATAGGAATAACAGTGCGAATATCTGCAACATCAATGTGACTATGAATGTCTTGAAGTCATTCATCACTGCTGATTGCGGAAATACACTGGAATTCAACACTTTCAAGGAAGTTGTTGTCGAAGGAAACACAATTAGAACTGTTTCTTTGTTCATGACAATAACAAATTGCTTGGAAGAAGAAACATCTGCAACAGTGAAAGTTGTTGAGTGCCAACAAGAAGAAGCAAAGGTTGAAGTACTCAGGAGATCGTCTGAAAGCAGATTGGAGTCTGCTTCGATGCAGGGAGGAGAAGTAATTGAATTGAGAGTCAAAGTAACTCTTGCAGAAGGATTATCTTCACTTTCTTCAAACGGAAAAACAAAAGTTGCTGAAATTTTGTTTGAAAATGAGTTCTATCCTGGTCATTCTGTTGAGGTTTTCTACAATCCAACACAGTCAGTACAGCAGCAATTGCAACCACAATCTCAACCACAATAACTTTATTTATAAATATATATAAATTATTTATTTTGTAAGAAATCTTGAATATATTTTTTTGCTCTGTCCCAAGTAAAAATTTTGAAGATAGCAACGACCATCCAATAAAGACAAATATGTGAGGAGATAAAAGCGCAATTCTGAGGGTGATCTATCGTCTTTATGGCACCCTTAACATCATCTTATGAGAGTATTTTTGTTTAGATTTTCAATCTAATATATATTAGCTCACTATATTTTCTACATTCTATTTAAATGCTAATTTATTCCACATTAAAAAATCAAAGTGAAATTATCACATTTAAGGAAAAATCATGTTCAGGAGGAGGATCAACGTTTATAGCATATAACAATCAGCCAAATAATATATTAATTGCATCAGGATCTGGAGGTGGTTCTGGAAGTTACCTTCTTGAAGAATATATCGGAGGTTATGGTGGAAAAATTGCTGGAAACGGTAATGGATCAATATTTTACTCAGGGAAGGGAGCAACTTATTCTACTGCAGGTGCAGGTGGTGTCTATTCATTTAATCCTGATGATAATAGAGGGAGTTGCACTGCAGAATCCGGTTCCAAATTAGCAGGGGGAAATTCCTGTATAACAGCCGATGCATCACCAGGAGGTGGTGGAGGAGGCTACTACGGTGGTGGAGGCGGTGCAGATGTTGCTGGCGGCGGTGGAGGTAGCAGTTTTGCCAGCAATATTTTAGAAAAAGTTTTGTTTAAAAATGGAAATGAAGAAATTTTTGAGCCCGATGGGACTAAAAGCATAGGACATGTAGGGAACGGTTTTATATCAATTGAACATTATATGATTTGTTCCAATCTTTGGTACAACATTTATTTTCTTGCCTTTCATCTAAATATTCTTTTTATTGGTTTTTTCTCATAAAATTCTTCGTTAAATTGAATAAGGTTATTTCAAAATTCCGAATTGCATATTTTAAGAGTATTTTAATTTCTTGATATATTGAATCATGTATCAGCAAGTGGCTAGTTTATTTAATTGATGTTTGACTCCATTTGATGGTACATCAACTGGTGGTTTTTCGTTCATTTCTGGAAATCAGGGTTGTGATGTAATTTCCAATAATTCAGAATGCGAAACAAAAATTATTGATGGAGAAAATACAGTGCCATTTTCTGGACTTGATTTGAATTTCATCATTTTATGGAACTGTATTATCAGTATCTTTTCGTTTTCTTTCCATTTATGTAAACAAATCTACGGAAAACCACTATTCATACTATTAGAATAATACTAATATGATATAAAATATTTGTGTAGTAATTAAATACAATAAAAAACAATTCAATAAATTAATATGAAATAAGGTTAATAATTCAGCTTTCCTAACTTTTAATAATGCTGAAATTTTTTGTAGTAAATTTGTATCAATATCATCAACATCAAATGGTGGTGCAATATATATCAATAATATCAAAAATGTTCTTAAATTGTATTCAGATTTATTTTACAAGTGTTCATCATCTCTCGAAGGAGGTTCAATATATATCACGGATAATCCTGTTTCATTCAATAACAATATCTTTCTCGAATGTTTTATTCCTATCAAGAGAAACGACAACCACGGAAACGCCGTTTTCTGTTATCATTCACAAACCAACATTTCTTATTCATCATACACATCATGTAGTCCAGATAAAGATAAGAAAGGCGATAGTTGCATATTTCTCAACAACGAAACCTTTTTCTGTAATATGCTGAATGGCAGTTATAATAACGGATTTGGCGGAGCCGGGATGATAGCAATTTGGAATGGATATTCAGACACATTTATAAAATACTGCCAGGTTAATAAGTGTTTCGATAATTTTTTCCTAGAATTTACAATTTGTTCGTATCCGGCTATTTTTTGTAATTTTATTGATGCTACAGCGCAAGGTTATATATTTTGGGTAAGTCCGAATCAAATAGCAACATTTGAAGATTGTACCTTCATAAATTGTTCAAAAAAAGATTTTGGAGGAGGAGGTAGTTTTGAATTTATTCGATGCTCTTCTAATGAAAAGTTAGCAATGACCGATCTAATTCCATTTATTACTTATAATAAAATTGAAATTAACATTAGACAATGTATATTAGAAACATATTCAAACTGTTTTGAAAACCTTATTGAAACGAAAATTAATCTTATATTAGAAGCTATAATACTTTTGTTCAGTGATTAAACAAGTTATACTATATATATATAGCAATTTTAAGACTTTTCCATTAATCACAGTTCATTAAAATGCACATCAATTGAGTTGGATGCATTTGTATTATTTTTTGGTTACATATAAATAAAGTTACATATGTTTGCCAAAATTATTGTATTAGAATTTTAAGGATTCCATATATATATATATATAAGGTCGATGAAAAAATGAGCGTTTTTAAACAACCGCCGTTTGAGACGAAAATTGAGAGCCCCGATGTATACTTTTTGACATTGTCAAAAACTTTGAAAGGACCAAAAAATTTAGTGTCAGAAAGTTTACAAATGTATACTTTCTGACAAACAGACTCTCAGAAAGTACTCAAACTGCGGTTTTTAATTTCCGCACTTTTTTTTGGCGACCTTATATAAAATGCTTTGCAGTTATATATCGATTTTTTTGCAGAGGGATAAAAAAATCGGAAAAAAGTGTATTTTAAGGCTGCACTTACGCCCATCTGACTTTAATTCAAATTTTTGACAACTGGCGTGAGGCGCCATTGAAAATTAACCTTAAACATCTGAATTGAAGGACATGTCATAGGGGCGTAAGTGCACCCTTAAAATCTTACTTCTGAAGGAAAAAAAGTCTAAATTTTCCCCATTTGTGCACAAAATATGATTATTTTGCATTCTAAAAATGATTTAACCATGCGAGTGGAGATTGGGAATCAAGCAAAAAATTCAATCATTTTGATTATTGAATTTTGAAATTTCCGAAAAACGTGACAAAAATGCTTACAAGTCTCTTTTTTATTAACAGCAGGAGCAGATATAAACCAGGAATTATAAGCAAAGTCTATGACAGTCATATTATCAATATTTACGTCAGTGGCTCTTCAAAACAAAACATAAATGGAAGTTTGCAATTAACTAAACCAGAATACTCGATTTATCCATGGGATAAGAGATATGACTGGTGTTCTAATTGTTATCGCAGCTATGATGAGCATCCTTATATTACTTATAACCTACAGCACAAAAAATTTAAAATCAACGGATATTTCATTCGTTGTGGGTGCTGTTACAATGGTTGTTGCTGCGAAGGCGAAGATTTTGGATGCCCTGACTGTTGTCTGTTCTCTTGGTCCTTGCAGATCTCCGATGACAACAAAACTTGGACTGATATTCACAAAGTTGAAAGAGATTACGACATGAGATATTGCAACGAGAAAGAATACAACTTGGATAAGTACTACACAGGAAGATATCTCAGAATAATACAGAACGAGGCATGCCCTGGAAATCCTCCTTGTATTGCACTCAATAAATTGGAATTTTTCGGTGAAGTTTTGAATGATGATTATTCACAAGTCGAAGAAGATTTTGTTTCCTACCATGACGATGACGACGATGTTAGTATCATTGGTCACATTTCAAAGAACAATGCCGCTTAAATATTTTAATAAAATCCTCCTTTTTTCAATATTTGTGATTTTTTACAATATTATTTATTATATTAATTTATTTTTTGAGCTCTTTTGCTGATTTTAATTATTAGGAATTGCAGTAAACATTTCACTAGATCTAGGAAGAAAGAACCAGTATTTGGAGAGTTATATATGTATAGAATCATATAATATATCCATCCGGAAAAGCAGGAGTTGTCCGAGAAATATCAAATAGTTTCTAATAGAGAGCTTTCGAGCATTAGGTTAACTCATTTGGATGAAATCGCATGTCTATTCAACAGATATATATAGGTTCGATCTTAGATATAAAAAGTGAACATAATCTGATATAGAGTTTATTATAATAATATAACATTCGAATATAAAAGCCTCAATTATTTCAATAAAATAATATATTGATATTTGTGATGTAAATATTTATTCGGAATTAAAGCATAGTAAAATAATATTCGGAATGAAATAATTCATTCGAAAATATGAATTACAAATACAACTGCAATCTTTCGTGAGAATTGTAATTCGAATACAGCCTTCATTTTTATTACGGATGCCTTTGGAGTTACTCGATGAATATAATGGCATTGTCTCATTGCCTGAGATCATTTGTGTTTGTGTGAAATATAATCCAGAGTAATGAATATTTGATCTAGATAAACTTGGGTTATTACTATATTGACCTTCTAGAGCAATACAATTTTTGTGACCTCCTGAACCACCGCCAGCATATTCTAATGTAGCTCCACTATAATATCCGTTTCCTCCCATACCGCCTAAATTTACTCCATCTTTGACTTTGTCTATTTGACCAAATATTCCATCATAACTATTGTAATTACATGTACCACTATCATCTTGAAATGTATTAGGACGAGAAGCTGTACCACCATTGGTTTGATTGGCACCTTTTGTCCAAATTTCTGGGCAGATTATTCCGTTGTATCTGCAATCAGATTTACTAGTACCACCAATCAGACCACCGGCATTCCCACCAATTGATCCTGGCCACTCAGCACTCCCTCCACCAGCAGCAACCATAAATCGAGATCTTAAAGATTTTGCATCATTCCAATCAAAATTAGAATTTGAATACAACCTTATGTCAGATGAAGCTCCACCTCTAACATAATGAATTCCTTCATTTGTTTTATAATTAAAATCTGTATTGGCGCCTACATACAAATAAAATTTCTGTATATCATTCAAAAATATAACTCCATATGTATATCCTCCAAGACCTGGAACTCCCCTACCTGAACTTAATCCAGATGAGCCCCATGATTCAAATTTATACAATCCTCTGTCAAGAACAATAGTATATGGAGTGCACGCATCATTATTTTGACATGGATATTGAAATAGATATTGGTTTTTCGAAATTGAGATGTTAAGATATCCTAAATTAGGCTTTGATAAATTTAGACTTATCATAAATTAAGTCAGATTTTTTATCATATCAGGCATGAGGCAATTCACCTCAATTAATGATTTCCAATACCTCATAGAAAAAATTCAAAAGATATTAATGTTAAAAATGTGACAAGAGTTCAACTCTCTTTCTGACATCAATTCAAATTTATATCAACTGAATATATTGATAATTAATAATAATTTATGTTTTACTGCGAATCAAAACAAATAAAAATGAAATTATAAATAAAAGAATTCATATGAAGATATGAATTACAAATACAACTGCAATCGTTAGTAAGAATTGTAATTCGAATACAGCCTTCATTTTTATTACGGATGCCTTTGGAGTTACTCGATGAATATAATGGCATTGTCTCATTGCCTGAGATCATTTGTGTTTGTGTGAAATATAATCCAGAGTAATGAATACTTGAATTATATGGATTTGGAAATTCATTTAATGAACTATTCAATGCTATGCATCCTTTGTGGCCCGAGATGAAAGAACTTCCTCCAGAACCACCACCTGCATATTCCAATGTTGCACCACTATAATATCCATTTCCTCCCATCCCTCCTATATTTGTATCATCTTTATAAGCTTTAATTCTACCAAACATTCCTTCATAAAATGAATATTGTCTTTGTATACTTCCTTCATAATATAAATTAGGAGTAGATGCGGTTCCTCCTTGTGTTTGATTTGCTCCTTTAGTCCATATTTCTGGACAAATCTTTCCATTGTTTCTACAATCAGATTTTCCAATTCCATCTATCAGACCACCAGCATTCCCACCAATTGATGCTTGCGATTCAGAACTTCCTCCACCAGCAGCCACCATAATCCTTGACCTTAATGATAAGGGATCATACCAGTCAAAGTTATTGTTCACAGATAATCTTATATCTGAAGATGCATCACCTTTAGCATAATGGATACCTGCATTGGTCTTATAATTAAAATTTGTATGTCCACCTACAAATAAGTAGAATGTCATTATACTATTCAAATATATGTTTCCTGATGTATACCCACCAAGACCTCGCAAACTTGTCCCTAATCCTGAGGAACCCCATGATTCAAATTTATACAATCCTTGATCAAGAACAACAGTATATGGGGAACATATATCATTGTTTTGACATGGATACTCAAATGTGTATTGGTTTTTAAAAATTGATATTTTTGGATATCCGGTATTAGGTTTTGATAAATTTACTCCTAACAACTATATTGTTTAATTGTATTGCAAGTAATTATATTGTTTTTGTAGCAATTCGCTTTCTAAAATCTTCATACATTATAAAAAGTTGTTATTCACTATCATTTATTGAGATCCAGCCGGGTATTTGAATACACAGGAAGTGTACAAAGTATAACACTAGAATCAGGCCGCTACAAACTTCGAATATGGGGTGCCCAAGGAGGATTTATTCATAATTCATCATATTGTCGAGGTTCATATACAGAGGGAACATTAAAATTAAAGACAACAACAAAATTGAATATCTATGTTGGCCAACAAGGTCAATGCAGTACATCAGTTATCAATAATATATTTTTTGGTGGAGGATCTAATTCGATTGGAAAACTTAATTTTAAATCATGCACAGGTGGTGGGTCTACCTTCATAGCATTTGAAAATGATCCACACAACATAATCATTATTTCAGGATCTGGAGGAGGTTCAGGTTTATATACTGATCAATTTGGAGATCATGAATATCTTGGAGGATATGGCGGATTGATTGCAGGTAACGGAACTGGGACCCATTTTGGTACAGGTGCTACTATTTTTTCTGCAGGAATTGGTGGAAAATATTCTGAATATGAATCCGAGTATTCTCCTTGCAATGCAACAAATGGGGAAAAATTGACAGGCGGGAATGCCTGTTCCACTGCTTTAGCATCGACTGGTGGAGGTGGGTCTGGATATTTTGGAGGTGGTGGAGGTGCAGATGTTAGTGGTGGTGGTGGAGGAAGCAGTTATGCAAGTGATTTACTTGAAAATATCATCTATGTGAATGGGAATGAAAATCTGACAGAGCCAAGTGGAACCACAAACATTGGTCATATAGGGAATGGATTTATTATTATTGAATATCTTACAAATTGCTCATTCAGAATGAATAAACATGATTTCAACATTAATTTTATACTTTACAGCCTTTTTGTTATATTAGATAATAAATAAAGGTTTTTACTCAGAATCAATACAAATAAAAATGAAATTATAAATAAAAGAATTCATATGAAGATATGAATTACAAATACAACTGCAATCTTTCGTGAGAATTGTAATTCGAATACAGCCTTCATTTTTATTACGGATGCCTTTGGAGTTACTCGATGAATATAATGGCATTGTCTCATTGCCTGAGATCATTTGTGTTTGTGTGAAATATAATCCAGAGTAATGAATACTTGAATTATATGGATTTGGAAATTCATTTAATGAACTATTCAATGCTATGCATCCTTTGTGGCCCGAGATGAAAGAACTTCCTCCAGAACCACCACCTGCATATTCCAATGTTGCACCACTATAATATCCATTTCCTCCCATCCCTCCAATATTAATTTTATCATTATATATTGGAATTCTACCAAATATTCCATCAAAACTTGATTTATCTCTTTGTTGATTTCCTTCATTAAATTTATTTGGTCTTGATGCTGTTCCACCATTAGTTTGATTTGCACCTTTAGCCCATATTTCTGGACAAATAACACCATTGTATCGGCAGTCAGAAAAACCATCACTACCTGTCAATCCGCCTGAATTACCACCAATAGATCCGGGCCACTCAGCACTGCCACCGCCACCTGAAACCATGATTCGCGATCTCAGTGATAAATCATTAAACCAATCAATGTTTTCGTTGACATATAATCTGACATCCGATGAAGCACCTCCATATGAATAATACTCTCCTTTATTCGTTTTATAGTTGAAATTTGTACGAGAACCAACAAATAGATAAAATGTTTGTACATTACTCAAATGTATTATTCCTGATGTATAACCACCAAGACCAGCAATTCCATTTCCTGATCCGGATGAACCCCACGTTTCAAATTTATATATTCCTCGATCAAGAACTATTGTATATGGTGTACAAATATCACTAGTTTGACATGGATATTCAAATGTATATTGATTTTTCGAAATAGAGATATTAAGATTTCCAATATTAGGTTTCGAGAGATTTAAACTTAACATATATTATTTTCACAATAAACTTATGAAATAAAATATGAAACTATATAATTTCACTCATTTATTTCATTAGCACATAAAAATGAATTTTATAATCTTATTTTATTAGAAATTACTCTTATTCATAAATTCAAATCAATATATCCAAATTTGATTCTTTTCATTGCCTTTGTATAACAAATATGATGACAGAAGATTGTCAAAACCAATAGGATACATCAAACATTTAAACTTTTATATCATATTATTTAATTCTCATTATTGAGTTTTAGTTGGGCATTTGATTATACAGGAAGCGTACAGAGTACAACATTAGTAGCAGGACGTTACAAACTTCGTGTTTGGGGTGCTCAAGGTGGTTTCATCTGGGATTCAACACGTTGTCGAGGTGCATATACAGAAGGAATTCTAAAATTAAAAACATCAACAAAACTGAATATTTATGTTGGCAGCAAAGGCCAATGTAGCACAAATCAGATAACAACCGTTTTTTATCAAGCAGGACAAAATTCAATTGGTGAAAATAATCTTCAATCATGCACAGGAGGAGGTGCAACATTTATCACATATAACAATATTAATGATATTATTATTGTTTCAGGCTCTGGAGGAGGATCTGGATTTTCCATTTGGGAAAATATAAATTATGAATATCTTGGCGGCTACGGCGGTTTTATCGCAGGAAATGGAACTGGTGCATATTTTGGTAATGGTGCAACTATAAATTCTTCGGGAATTGGAGGAAAATATCCAGGATATAAAGATAATAATAATGAGTATTCTCCTTGCAATGGGATCAGCGGAGTTAAATTGAAAGGCGGAAATTCATGTTCCACAGCACAAGCTTCATCAGGTGGAGGAGGATCTGGATATTTTGGAGGTGGTGGAGGTGCAGATGTTAGTGGTGGTGGAGGAGGAAGCAGTTATGCAAGTAATTCACTCGAAAAAATAATTTATAAACTGACAGAGCCAAATGGAAATTCCAATATTGGCCATATAGGGAATGGATATATTTTAATAGAATATATCGCTTCTTGCTCAATAATAAACTGTAAATCAATATTTGATATTAATTTTATGCTTTCAATGATTTTTGTTATTTTTGAAACGAAATAAATATTAACAATTCATTTACCCAGTCTGATTTTTATTAAAATAACTCAAAACTGTCCCAAAGGGTCCTTTGAGATGTAAACAATAGAATTGAAAGATATGTTATTCAGTTGCAAATGCACCTTTGCGATCTTAAAATTTCACACTTTTTTTTTCAATATTCCAAGCCATAATAAACTAGAAGTCATATAAATGCACCATACAAATACATTTTCTATTGGCAGATTCTCACTACGGCGAACAAAAATTTTATTCATCATGGTAAAATTACAATTTACAAATAAAATTTATCCGCGTTTGAATATTCGAGGTTTATTCATGTAATCTATCGGTTCTTGTGTTGCTGGCACATTGTTCCATTTCACGCAGCTTATTCTAAAGTAACCATCACCATAGTTACCAGTTGCATATTCTCCGGATGGAAGAGGTATGCGTTCATTTCCTGCTAGCATCTTTGTATTAGAAAACTGGTAACCAGAACGATGTGAAGTACAGCCATTGTGGCCTGAAATGTAGGAACTTCCACCACTACCTCCTACATCTGACTGATATCCTTCGTGTTCGGATGTCTTCCCTCCATAATAACCGCCACCACAACCGCAGTTTCCTTGACCTCCACCATTTTGAACATCATCTTTAGAGTAGCCATTGTCACCTATTCCGTTTACGTTACCTCTTGTTTGTGTTGCTTCATATGCTGTGTACACTTTACCAACTGAATTTCCTCCAACTAATCCGCCTGCATGGCCACCACTACACCATTCATAGCCTCCGCCACCACCAGCCGAGACCATAATTCGTGAACTTGTGTCACCTTTTATGAGATAAACTGATGTCGCACCTCCACCACCTGAGCCTGCAGCATAACCTCGAATTTTTGCAGAACCCTTACCTCCATTACCTCCACCACCGCAACCACCTTTTTTGATTGTAAGTTTATTATATCCGCTGTTAGTTGCATTTTCTCCTCGACAACCAACAACAACATAAATTTTTTTATCAGAATCAAAACTTATGTTTCCTGCTGTATAGCCACCACGTCCTGCTTCAGATTCTGTGCCGCCACCTGCAGCTCCCCATGCTTCAAAATAATAACTTCCTTTTTTAAGATTCATTTCGTAAGGTTGACAGCTTTGATTGCAATTAAGCTTATATTCATATTCTATTCTTTTTTCAATAGCTGATGATAGTTCTAATAATATGTAGATCATTTTAATGTTAATTTAAGAGTAAATGGCAGATTCCATATTCAAAATAATGTCGGCTTCTTTATCCACGTTTAAGGTTAAATATTTAAGTGATAATTTTTATGAAATTATGTAATTTATTTAAGTGATTTTTAGGTAAGTTTGTAAATAATAAAATTTTGGAAGATGAAAATCTAGAATTTTTTGCATTATTAAGGGTGCTGGAAAGTGAGGTGACGCGATTTCGAGTATTGCTCATAACTCATTTGTAGTAAAGATATTAATGATATTGAAACATATATTAGTAGTGTATATACTAAGGTTTTTATTTCTATGATATTGAGGTCTTGGATACTTCCAGTATGAAGAAAACTGTTTCGCAATTTTCAAACTTGCGCACCTATCTAGTCCCTGGTTATTCCATGGCAGGGGCTGATACTCCAGAAATGATATCTAGGTACAAGATACTAGATATTTTATAGAAAACATTTGGCACTTGTTAAAAAGTGTCGAGATGCAATTAGTGAGTAACTTCAAAACTAAGACAGATTGCACTACCATCTCACTGGATTCTGCTAATTACCATTAGGGAACAAACCCAATGGTAGTGGTTTCCAGTCGAAATGGTCACATTCAAAGTTTAATTAGATTTGTATCTAGTCCTCCAATATTGTGTTTAAGCCAGTGAGATACATTAAACAAAAAATTTCAATAGTTATACTAAAAGTTTTACAGAACAAAGTTTATTTTCAATGCTCATATTTTGAGATAAATGCACTTTTTTCTTTCCAGATTTTAAAAATTTTGTATAATTTTTGTATGTTTTCGATAGCCTTATAATCATAAACATCGATTTCGCTTAGTTTAAATATGATACTATGATACATCATCACTTACGGTTTATACTCATATAAACAAAACAAAATAAAAATCATTTTATGAGTTTGAAAAGTGTTGTTTTTATAATAGCTTTCACTTCACTTTCCGGCATCCTTAAGAAAAAAATTGTAATGTAAACACACTGTATAAAGATGTCTACAACTTTTTACGTTGTCTACAACATATTTCGGGTACTCTATATTGATTAGTATTCATGATTTGTATGACATTTTTCATTTAAAATATTTCATGTCAAATTTGAACATAGGATCATTTAAAAAAAGCACACTTGAAAATTCCCTATAAAATATACTTATTTTATGCTTTAAGTATATTTTATAGGGAATTTTCAATTGTCCCTTCAGTCCGAGGTGTTACCCCCTGCACACTTGAATTTTCATAGATATATTATTTACGTAAGTTTATAAATAGCATTTGATTCATGAGAATTTTCTGGAATATTTTCGAGAAACTTCTAAAAAAATACCTCAAATTTTGAATTCGACTGGCAACATTTTTTTCTGAAAATCTAAAATTTTGAATTCTAACATAACCATCACCATAGTTACCAATTGCATAGTCTCCCGATGGAAGAGGTATGCGTTCATTTCCTGCTAGCATCTTTGTATTAGAAAACTTGAACCCCGAACTATGAAGTAAACACTTCGGATGGCCGGAAATGTAGGAACTTCCACCACTACCTCCTACATCTGACTCAAATCCTTCGTGTTCGGATGTCTTCCCTCCATAATAACCGCCACCACAACCGCAGTTTCCTTGACCTCCACCATTTTGAACATCATCTTTAGAGTAGCCATTGTCACCTATTCCGTTTACGTTACCTCTTGTTTGTGTTGCTTCATATGCTGTGTACACTTTACCAACTGAATTTCCTCCAACTAATCCGCCTGCATGGCCACCACTACACCATTCATAGCCTCCGCCACCACCAGCCGAGACCATAATTCGTGAACTTGTGTCACCTTTTATGAGATAAACTGATGTCGCACCTCCACCACCTGAGCCTGCAGCATAACCTCGAATTTTTGCAGAACCCTTACCTCCATTACCTCCACCACCGCAACCACCTTTTTTGATTGTAAGTTTATTATATCCGCTGTTAGTTGCATTTTCTCCTCGACAACCAACAACAACATAAATTTTTTTATCAGAATCAAAACTTATGTTTCCTGCTGTATAGCCACCACGTCCTGCTTCAGATTCTGTGCCGCCACCTGCAGCACCCCATGATTCAATATAATATTCACCTTTGGATAGATTAATTTCATACGGGTTACAGTCTAATCTGCATGAATATTCTTGGGATCTAATATTGAATTAATATGAAGTTGTTTTATCTAAATTTGAATTCAAAAAAATATTTTTTTACGGTTTGTAGTCAAAATAATTCAATTAAAAAATCATTAACATTATATCTTTCACTTTCAATGATATTAACATTTTTAAAAACATTACATTCTTTAACAGAGATTCTATGAAAATGATCTTTAATAGATAAACAAAAAATAATAAAATAAAATTATTCAGCTTTTGTTTCCTTTTGTTTGATTTCTTCTGGTTTCTTTGGTGTTTTAACGAACTTGAGAGCAAAGAACATCAAAATAGAGAAAACAGTTGGCAAGCAGTAAACAGATTTCCTGACATAGATGAAATTATGGACCCAAGGATAGAACCACGTCGAAGTGCAGTACAACATTGTTGTGCAAACAAAGATATCATGAATTAATATCCAGAAAATGTTCTTTGCCGGGAATTTTCTGCAGAAAACTCTGTCTGCTTCCATAATAAGGAATGATTCAGGTAACAAGAGGAAGTAGACTGGTCTGCAGCCATGCCATGCCATTGAAACAAAGAAAACTGCGAAGTTTCCGAAGGCGGATGAAAATCCTTGGGCCATAAGTCTCGCGTAGAGGTAGTTCTTGAAGAAAAGATGTGTGGTATGGTTCCATCTTCTCATCCAGTCCTGGCATGAACGTGAATCAAGAACTTCGAGGAGAGATAAGTTCGAAATTTCGTATTTGACGTTATCGTAGAGGTTGGAAGATGCGAGACCGAACGCGTAATACCCGGATTCGACAACCCACCATGAACAATAGTATCTTGTAACTGAAAATGCAGTTAATGCAGCAATTGCGAAACATTTGAGGACAATGTTAAGGTTTAGGTACCACTGGAACTCGTAGTTCTCCCAAACCATGTATTTCATAGTAACTGCGACGAATCCTGAGAGAAGATAAGCTTCAATGAACCTTTTCAAGGCCAAATACTTGTCTTCTGATGTGAGAGGCTCCTTGCGGTTGCCAATATTGAGCATGTAGTCGAATACCTTGAATTCGATGAAAGGATTTGTAAATCCTCCATAAGGAGTAATTAAATAAGCGCAGTAGATAAAAATGTTCGGGCGTTCGAAGACGGCTAACTGGGATGCTCTCTTCCTTACTTCTTTCTTCTCTTGAAGGCGTTTGCCGTCATAAAGGTTCCAGGCCAATGAAAAGACCTTTTGGAAACAAACCATGGAGAGGCCTGTTATGTCAAGGGCCCAAGAGACACCTTGGAGGACAATATAAACATGTGTGGCCATGGTCATGGAAAATCCGATAAATCCAGCGATCCATGGTGGTAAGAAGAGCAAAAAGTAAGAAATAATAATGAATGCAACCATGATAAGTGAATCCTTAATGCCGAATAAAGCAAATGAAAGGATATTACCATAAATAATATGAATTAACGCATTTATGTATTTGCTTTTGATATGTGGGAATACAAAGCGAGCCATTGGATAGAGGAATGCTGATATAAACATATATAATTCGACAGTCGATAAGTTCTTCAAAATATCGAGAAGACTCATCAGATTATCAAAAAAATGGTATATCGTTCAGAAAAAAAATGCTATTCCATTTATTTGTTTATGAAATAGCATTTTGTAAAGATTCTTTTTAATAAAAAAATAAAATTTTGAAGAAGAACACAAAATCTTCTGAAAAATAATATCACATAAACTCATATTATTTTCTAATATATAACTATTTTATATAAAAATCAAATTCAATGATCTTAAAAGCGAAGGATAAACCTCAAAATTTACGAATATAATGAGTGGGAATATAATGCTTATCTATCATAAAACCATATGAAATATCAATTTTTGCTTTACGCCTAATTTTTGACGACAATTAGCAAAAAATGTTAAATGTTAACACTCAGTCCATTTGAATATGAAAAATAAAATTGACTTTGATTAAATGTTTTTATTTATCATGCAATTCTTCTTGCGACCAAAGAGTTGAATAAAAGTTCAAAAATAAGATAGCTTAAAAAATAATATACGGTAGTGTTTACTAATAGATGAATAGTATATAAATTCTATTAAAATGGATTTGATCTAAAAAAAATATAAAAAAAAAAATATTGTTATAATTTAAATGAAGAAGTAATTTAAAACGATTTTATTTATGATCAAATTTATATATTTTTTTGGATCAAATCCATTTTAATAGAATTTATATACTATTCATCTATTAGTAAACACTACCGTATATTATTTTTTAAGCTATCTTATTTTTTGAACTTTTATTCAACTCTTTGGTCGCAAGAAGAATTGCATGATAAATAAAAACATTTAATCAAAGTCAATTTTATTTTTCATATTCAAATGGACTGAGTGTTAACATTTAACATTTTTTGCTAATTGTCGTCAAAAATTAGGCGTAAAGCAAAATTGATATTTCATATGGTTTTATGATAGATAAGCATTATATTCCCACTCATTATATTCGTAAATTTTGAGGTTTATCCTTCGCTTTTAAGATCATTGAATTTGATTTTTATATAAAATAGTTATATATTAGAAAATAATATGAGTTTATGTGATATTATTTTTCAGAAGATTTCATTCTATATGCCTATGAAAAGTACTCTCAAAACTAACTTTTTCCTAATTATAATTAAATCTAGAATATTGTATTATGCTTAGTATTATTTCATTTTTCTCATTCAATTTAGAATTTACAAATGTCAAAAAATTGAGAGCTGTCACTTTTGATGAATTTCTGTTTATTACAATACGAAATTCGGTTCTTCCATTGAAATTTAAATTATTGGGAAAATGAAAAATCGTAATTATCACACTATAACAATGCTTATTGATTGAATAAAATGGTCAGTCAGAGGTAGGTTAATGATAGCCCAAAAAGTAGTCATGTGATTTTATCCCAAGCATATGGGGATTCTAAATTTTTGTCCCTATCGTTATCCCAATTGAATTTTTTTTTGGAATTTAAAAATTTTTTTTCTCCATGTAAACTTAAATTTTAATTTTTACCACTAAAATGCAATATTTCAACAAATTAATGAGTAATAATATTTTAATTTATAATAAATATTATAAATCTCCTCAATTTAATGTAATTATTGTATTAATTTTTGTTGAAAATATAAAATCTTCAAGTAAATGATGTGAATTTAATATTTTTAGAATGTTGTTTAATTGTACTATATTATGCATGTAAAATTTTGTTACAATACATTTTATATGGGATCCCCATTGCCCAATTGAGAGAAAATTGAGAGGTGGGATTGGGCTAGCCCAATTCAAAATATCCCAGGTGGAAATAAAAAAATTAACAATTCAACATAAAAAAGCATCTTAAATAATAATGATAAAAAGAAATTTTGTATGAATTTCAATCAAATTTGTTTTTATTCAACTTAAGAAATCACTTCATTAATGAAAGAAGTCGGGTTCACAACATATCCCGATCTTGAAACGAAACAACATGTTTTTTTGATGCCCTAAACGGGGGGGGGTCGCCAGCAAAAAAAAAAGATGTCAAAATTTATCCCAAAAATTTAAAAAAAATCGAAGAAAGTGCATCCCAGGGATTATAAAATTTAAGTTTTCACATCTCTACCAAAAAGGCCTCTCTGATAGAATTCCTTGTGCTTTTGGTATGTTATAATATAACCCCTACCATAGTCAAAATTAACTTACGATTATAAAATATAAGCAAAATAAAAACATAGAAAAAATTATTTGTTTTTTAATAAACTTTTATTTTTCAATGGAATTCGAGTTTTATAGAATTTTAATACAGCAGATAGATTTAATTATTGGTAGTAATTATGGCAGTCCCAACGGGAACCGCGGTAATTTACCGAGGTTTCCGCACACCGGTTCCTTTTTTAGGAATTTTTTAGATTAAAAAATATGCTTTGTAAATCATTTTTGTAATCGGCAAAAATTTGGAAATATTCTGACGACAATAAATCTGGGAATAGTATTTTAAATACGAGAACAACCTATTTAAAAGTGTTTTGCTCGATTTTGTATAATTTCAAATTTTCGCATATAGCTTTCCGTGAATTACCGTGATTTTACCGCCACATCAATAGTTTACGACACTTTTTCCGTAAATTGAGTAGTTTACTGCACTTTTTCCGTAAAATTGAGTTACGGGAATCCGTAAGATTACCGTACCTCACTTCTAGTTGAAAATAGCATTAGTATATAATAAATAGATATATTATTCATATTTTTGATTTTGAATTACGGAAAAAGTGAGTTCAGAACTTCCAATTATTATTTGATTAATTATGTTAAAAATACTATAAGGAATTAAAATACATAATGTTGAAATTTGAATTACGGAAAAAGTGCGGGTGAAAGTGAATTGAAAAAGTAAGATATTTTTTGTTGAAATAATCATAGTTGTACAATTTTGAAACTATATGTAAAGCTATAAATTGAATAAATTCAAAAACAAAAATTGTTTATTCTTATTAATAAATTTATATTAATCAATATTTGAACAACCCGTAATTAAAATTGAATTCCTCTTAAAATTTAATCCATACGTTAATTTTTAATTTGCTCGGCATTCGCCGAGCTTCCCTACTTCTCTTGTCATTCCTTCAAAAACTCTAATCTCATCGCACTTACAAACATCATGATTTGATGTATTGTCGAGAAATCTTAGACTTGTTTGTCATTTGATGATAGCATTTGAAAGTCATCTCGAAAATCGATTAACAAGACAATTTCCCAAACATCTACATACAAGTAGATGATGGTAAACCCATTAGAGTTGTTTTGCTATGATTCCTCCAATCTTATTATGAGAAAAATCATATCAAAACAGCTCTAATCGAACATTCTACACAGCTTAGCATCCAGCTAGTTCCAAGTAATGCGATTACAACATCAACGGCCAAAGCCTTTCAGAGTCTTTAATCATTTCTTCTCATCTCAATGTGAAGTGGCCCAAACGAACTACAAGCTGACGTTACAACGCATTACAACCCGGTTAATACGAGCAATATACATTAGAGCTGCTTTGTTATGATCTCCCTCATCAATTGATGAAGATCTCATTATGAAGCAGCTCCAATCGAACTAAAAACCTACATACAAATGAGTGAAAACAAATTCATTAGAGTTGTTTGCTTTGATTTCTCTCATCAGAAGATGAGAGATACCAGAACAAAACAACTCTAATCAAACTTTCTACACAACTCAGCACAGTATCAATGCAAAGTAATGCGTCTGTATCGTTAACAAGCAAAGTTGTTTCGGGTCCTTCCATTTTGGAAGAATTCGGAACAACTTTGCGAATTGATAGTGTAAACCCATATACATGAAAGCGTGCATGCATAAAGACAGGTATTGTCAGCAATGACTACCTGCCCAGCTATGAGTGATCAGAGAATTACCATCTCAGGCTTTTTGAGAACGTTTCAGCCAGGACCCTCGTATGTTGACTGTGAGAAAGGCATCCTTTATCTGAAATAGATGCTTTTCCAACAATCAAATTCGAAGATCTTCGACCTTGTTGTAAAAAGAGAAGGAGAAGGAAAGAAGAGGAAGGAGAGGAAGAAGGAAAGGAAAAGAAGAAGAAAAAAAAAGAAAAAAAAAGAAGGACATATTAAATATAATGCGCACTTAATAGTGCCGAGGCGGCGGAGCCGCCGAGGCGCAATTTTTTTGACCCTATATTACCGCACGGCAATGTTTTTCTCGATTTTGTACAGCCCTAGGTAGTAAATACGTGGATAAAGTCTTAAAAGAAAAATATGATATTTGCATAATTATATATTCAAATATTTTAATTATTCATTAAAAACAATCTCAAATAACATATACATTGGAATGTAACACTAGAGGAAACTGATTGTTATGGATTTATCATACATAACATTCAGATTACTTTTGATTCTTCATTAATATGCAAAATTTTGGAAAAGTTATAAAATCTAGTGTATATTTATCTTTATTAAAATGATATTTGCAAGCCATAAAAGGAAACATATCATGGAATAATTGAATATTTTACAATTTATATAAATATCAATTTAAACATAAAAATATATAACTACGAGTACTACCAAATCAATATCTTTCAAGATTTTAGTGGTTCAAAGTCCATGGGTTGCTAGATCGGAAGAAACAAAAAGCTTTCTTAATTTTTGTTGGCTTAAATTGGCAAACCAGCTTCATTCTGGTGAAACTCATCTTATACTAGAAAATTTGGCAGGGTCCGTCACCTAGCATAGTATAGTGGGAAATCTCCCTATTTGGCAAAACTAAGGACGCAGGTTCGATACAAAATTTGGAGTTTTAATTTTTTCTTTTTTGCATATTTTGATTGTATATAAAGTTTGACTAATCATTGGAAGAAGATAATTGATATTATATATTATGTATTGATAAAATAATCAATATCAAAGTATGAACTTGGATCAAATACATTTGGTTTTGGAGTTTTATGTTGATTGATCAGAAATATTATGAATCATTCCGTTTTCTTGCTTTATTCGTATTTTCGGATAATATTCTAATTGTATTATAAGAATTCATAAATAAATAAAGTAATTAGATAAAATTATATTAAAAGAAAATAAGTGTATTCGGTTTTATGATATTGATAAGCTCTAATTTGATAAGATTATATTATTTATAAATCAAAGACCCTTAAAATGCGGACCTGATAAAAAATCTGATTAAATTCTAAACAATTTCGTGCAATAAGTGAGTGAATAATTTTATTCGCAATAATCGAACCATAATTAGAAGATTTGATAATAATAAAAATCATTAGTATAAAATTTCAAATATTATTATTTGGAATTTGTAAGTTTAATTTTAAATACATTCACATAATAAGTCCTTATATTGGTTACCAGCATTTAAGGCAATTTAAATTTAAAAAGAAAAAAAATGTCGTACATCATTATGGTTCGAACCAGGGCTTACAAGCTTAACAGCTGAGCTATAAAAACGATTATTTTTCATTCAATTATTTTGGTATTTAATAGTTCCAGGACGGCATGAGAGGTATATTATTACATATCATATGAAAATATATCTTTGAGTATTGTTTTAAATCTATTTTCGCTTATTTTCTGTGAATTTTTTTTTTGGCGGGCTTTTTAAAGTTTTGATTAACAAAGCTTGATTCTATTTATTCTAAAATGAATAAATCAGGTAATCATAAAAAAGTATAATCATGTCAGAGTTTTTTGAAATTAAAAATTGAATTGATTTTGAGCTCGATATGGAAATACATCATCATTACCTCAGTATGTATTTAATTTATTTTTTGATTTCAAAGCAATATATATACATATTGAGAAATTATTATTTCAAAATAGGCACGAAAATTCAGATCTAATTAATGAAATCAATCAGTGATATCATGTATAGCTATTCAAACCTTCAAAAAGTGTTTTGAATTTTCAATTCTTAATTCTTCTCATCCCTCTGATGATTTTGTAAAATTTGTTTATAAACAGCTTATATCAAATGTAATGATCCATGTCATTATATTAATGTCTGGAAATTAACTTTTGATATTCAGTTATTCAAAAAGTTCGATATGGGTTCGTATCAATATTTTTAATTTAAAAAAGAAATTACAATTTTAGAAACATAATAATATTTTATAACTTATTGACTTATATTATCAATATTATATGTTATTATAGAATTTAATCCTAGATAAAATTCATATATATTATGTACATTCATAATATGTCAAATAATATTAAAGTACCTAAAACATAAAACACCTTATAACATGAATGTCACACAATAATTGTTATGATTATGTGATAATTAATTAATAATATAGATTTAGATGTCGACATTTGATCTGTATCTTTTCCTCTTAAGTAGAAAATACAGTATCTACAACATAACTCATTATAACCAACACCAAAACAGAAGTGTATTCATTTTCAAAGAGTTCCTACAGACAGTTTTTTCAGGCCAGATATTAAATTTTAATGTATACTTTTTTCTACACACACATGCCTACTATGAAGAAAAAAATGTTTTTGCCTATCAACATATTCGTTTCAACATGTTAAATTTTTAATTGCATTATATCCATGTTTGATTCATCAATTTACTGCTACTCTCATTGCACTTAATTCATTGATGAGTATAAACACTAATGGTACCAAGCACAACACAAAATGCAAAGCCAGGCAATGTATAGGAACCCTTAAAATTCCCCGGGCTTTTTTTTCAAAAATTTTCTATCGTTAAGGGTCCACTGTAAGGCCAAATAAGGTCTATTGTCGTCCCAAAAATATTGCTCGAGATGGTGTTTTACTAAGGCCCAAAACTTAAAAAAACTCAAAAAAATTAACTTTACTCTTTTGAGATCCTTATCAGATATGCATCAATTTGATGCAGTATCGCAGTTCGAATCTGATTTTTTAATGTAGATATACTCTAACATTCTTGAAAAAATGCAAAATAATATTAATTAAGCTTTTCATTTCTGTATCATACACGAAACAAAATCATTTATTATACTAAAATTTATCAAAGTTTGAATAATGAAAAAAATAATATCTAAATTTTTACATTGAGTCGGCTATTGATATGGTCAATATTAAATCGTTTAAAAATGGGCATTGGCTAGAATAATACCCACTAAAATACACTTTTTTTAAATGTTATCAATTTGTTATGGTATATCTTTATGATAATGAATAAAATGCTTATCCTTCATAAGTAAATACATAATTTATGCTTAAACACAAAAAATAACACGAAAATTTTTGGCCAACATATCAAAACTAAGGATAATGTTTTGAATATATAAGCAATAATACTTTGTCTAGAGAATTAAATTTGTGCTATCTAATTGTCAATTCTTTGAATTTTTTTTAATGCAAGATATCCCGGCATTGGCCTCAATGAATATAAACTACATGCATCATAATATTAGTTTGTAATAGCATAAAAGCGAAATTCCTAATTTCTTCTCAAATAAATTCCTAAAAAAACATCGGAATTAATGATTGGAAATAGGTCAAAAAAATTCCTAATATAAAATTTATACTTAAGATAAAATCAAAATTCGAAAATATCTATTTTTCAAAACACGCATCCAAAAGCGAAAAAATTCGAAAAAATCATGTTCTTATAAAACTCGCCGATTTTGCAATTTTTATCCGATTTGAAGTTATAGAATATATTACCATCTTACAAAAACATATACTTCATTATTGCATTCACAAAATATTAATCAGAACACTAGGAAAAGTGGATTTTCGAAAAAAGACAATAACGATTATTTGCAAATCGCCTCTCAATTTTGAGAGACTTTCAATTTTTACAGTGGACCCTTAAGGGTGCACACGAGAGGATCATGTAAACTTCAGAATTTAGAACCTTATTTTTGGGCATTATCTTGGCTACCTATTTAGGCTCGAAAAGCAAAAAATATCAAAAAATACAACTTGACTCCATTATGACCCTTTCATGGAGGTAGTTTTTATCCGCTAGTATTTTCCCTTTGAATCTCTTTACAATTCGAAATCAAATTCAAACCTCAGTAGAAGAAAGGAAGAATCGACTTACTACGGTTGTAATACGAATAAATACATATATTTAATTATTTTTATTTACATAATAATTGTTTGAAGCTCATATTCCAACAAATTTTTAAATAAAAACATTAAAATGTTGAAAATGTTCATATATTTTAATAGGGTTTTGGCACTTTATTGAGGAATTACTACATACATAGTCGAACTGAACTTGATATTTTGAAATTTAAATTATTTATCAAAATTAAAATTTAACTTGAAATTTATAATTATTTAGTCATATTTTGCATAATTCTAAGTAGATTTTGTAAAAAATCAAGAAAGAAAAATTTTAACGTGCTTTATTTTTTCTTTTTTATAATAATACATATTCTTATATAATTAACATATTCATAATGTTTCACCCTTTCAAAAATATAATCCTCCTCCTCTCAAATAAACGTACATACGGGTGGCCTCTTTTTTCAAAAAATTAAAATTTGAAATTTTGGGCTCAAATATTATAGATTTTTCAACCTTCAACGATATATGTTGTCTATATCAGACCTCCTTTCTTTTTGATACTTAACATTGTTCCTAAATCTTAGCCGTTAAGGCTGTTCTGAAAATATTTTTTTTTCGAAAAAATTCGAAAAAAATTCTTAAAATTCAAAAATCCCTTAATTCCTGAGGATTTTGGAAAAAAGTTTTTACATGAACATGTGTATATTATATGAAGTATATTGATAAGGTAGAAATCAAATTTTATTGCATATTCATCGAGAAAATAAACTAACGAATCCCTCAAAATTGAGAGGGTAATCCTCCTCCTCTCAAATAAACGTACATACGGGTGCACCCTTAACCTACCTCTGGTCAGTCTATCGTATTCAAAATTATAAATTGAATTGACGTCAAAACCTACTCAAAAAATATGAATAAAATTAACAACTAAATAAACAATCTAATTTAATTTGATAACTCTATAATACAAAAAGTTAATGCTTTCACAAACTCGAACGCATTCTGTTGAACGTATGAAAAATGAGAAATATCCATTGCCAAAATTTCATCGATTGGCGGGCCAATATTGAGCATTACGGCCTTTAGAAGAAGCATTTGATCCATTTTTGTAGCTTCATGTGTTCTAACAAGCTCAGCAAAGCTCTTCTTGATAAGATTTTGATCTTTCAGTCGTAATCCGAGAATAAGAGCAGAAGTTGTGTTTGTAGTATCAATTCCTGCCATTATTTTATCTTTATGAGCAAGAGCTTTCTGTACATCCGAAATTGTATCATTAAAACTCTTTGAAAAATCAAATTCTTCAAATTGTGACACTGTATCATTAATACAGAATTCTCCAGGATCATATAAATAATTATTTTCATCAACTTCTCCGTATGAAAGCTGATGAGGCCATAATTGTGTATTATTAATCTTTCTTCCGCATTTTCTAACTGTTTGAACTTTCATTACAAGTGATTTGAAAGCAGTTTCTCCCATTTTAAGATATAATTCTGCAATAGTTGAAAAATATTCGTGTTGTGTTCCGCAGAGCGGTGCATTAACAAGCTTAATATCTGTAAGTGTTGGTCCCCGTTCAGGAGCCTTTCTTGGTATGTCGCAATCTAAGTTTTTGTAATTAACATTTAATGAAGGCCATCCTGATGCGAAAGCAGTTGCATTCAAGATAGTAAATGCATCTGTAAATCGTTGTTGGTCAATAAACCTTCTTGCAAGAGCTATTCCTGCGTTGGGTTTACACCAGATTGAATTAAAGACAATAAAATATATTGGATCATCTGGAAGTAATTTCATTAATGCAATAGCAACATCAACATCTTCTGGAAATAATTCCATATGATCTTTTAGTAATAGAATCAATTTTTTCGCGAAATTACATTCAATTGGGATGTATCTCAGTATGTGATCGAATATTGTAGGAAATTTAAGCATGTATTTTCTCAAAAATTCGAAGATTTTCTCTGCTGTCAAAGATAAAATTAAACCAGCTGCTAAAGCAGCTTGAAGTTCATCAGAATTAGGATGGTTTTCAGCTATGTATATAAATTCGTCTAAATCTAATAGTGTTGCCGAAAAAGCTTTTGTAATTGAATTACTTACTGGATTTGAACCGAAAAATGCAAATAATAAGTATTGAGATGCTCTATAATAGCGTAATGCTGATGAAAGACGTATCTTATTCCATTTCTCGTCATCTATTTTTGACTCGGATTGATCTATTTTGTAACATTTAAATGCACACGATCCAGTTGACTGGATTTGCGCAACAAATTCATTTTGGTCAAACGAATCCCAAACGTAACACGTGGATTGAGTGATTTTATACTTTTTCGAAATTGATCCTTTTTCTTGTCTCGACAATAAACTGGCTAAATACGCAGGAAATGCTGCTGGTGTATCTATTTTCAAGCCACAGACACAATGAAAATAGTTCCTCGGCCTTCCATCTGATAATAACGTCTTTTCTTCTTTTCTCAGACAAATCAGATCATCTGGACCTAATGTACCGCTTTTTTGGCACATTTGCTTTCTTTCTTTGATCATATTCTTCTGTGTAACTTCATAAAGATTTTCAATTGTTGATGCCATAAAAAAATGAGAAAAAAAAATCGCTTTGATTTTTATCATCCAAAAACTAAACGTCAACAATTATGTTGTTTTATACGAGGATATCATTTTACTAAAGTAGCTCGATTTTATAATCAAATTTTATAATCAAAAATGATACCATTGAGACTCTCGGCTTAAAGACTATAACAAAACAGTTTATCATCAACTAATAGCATTTGTTTGTGGGTAGAAGTTTTCATAAAAACCAATTTTTCATAAATCTTTTTAATGATCTATGCTTCATGTAAGTATTCAACGACCAAAACATCAAGCTAAAATATCAACTTGAAGAAAAGGTTCATATCTTTGATTTTCATTGTTTTTAACTTTAAATTACTAAATGAGAAAATATAATATATAATAATAAGAAAATATTTTATCTTCATTGAATAGATGTATGTCAATATATGGTCATTTGCTCATGATTCTAAGAAAATTAAGAAAAATAAAATAATGATTAAAAGAAAATAGTTTTTTTCTCAAATAAATCATATATGAAAGTATTTTATAATATAATACAAATCTATATATCTATTATGGGAACAATAATCTAACATTTTTAACGAGTTTCATTTGAGAACTCTCCAAAACATCAGCCAAATCAGCATCTTCAAGTGAAAGAATCCTCTTTCTTGTGTCAGGTTGAACAACAAAATCTTCTGTTGATACAGAAATCCAGTTATTCAACTTATCAATATAATGTCTCAATAAAGCTCTAGTATTTGAAGTTCCACGTGGCGTTGTGTATCCCTGTGCAACAAGGAAACATTGTATACGCGCTAAAAGTCGTGGATCTGATACTCTTCTCATCATTGCTTCAATTTTTGTCAAAACATGCATAAGAATGACCATTCCTTGTGATCCTGTGAGTGATTCTCCGATCTGCTGTGCATTGTTACTAATAATCTGTTGGGATAACCTACTCAAAGTGCATCCAAGTGGTTTTAATAAGTATTCTTCAAGTGGAGCTGTCAGTTCTGAAGGGAATATACGGACAAAACCATTACCAGACTGTCTATTTCGCTCATCTTCGGCTTTGACCTTCTGTGCTTGAAGCTGGTCCAAGTCAATTTGAGATGGATCAATTTTGGCTTCAATAGAACGTAATTCTGAGAGACTTAGATCAGGAATTCCGACAATACTGAGTGCATTGGCGATCATGGGACCTTTGACTTCGTAGTCTGACTCTTCCGTTGTTCCTAAACAAGGAAATGTATTGACTTCAAGGAGCCACATGTGGAATTCCCTGTCAATAAGTATGTCAAAACCGTAAATCTCGAAGTAATTGTCATGAATTCCGTCTGCATCTGTAGTTGTCATCGTAGATTGAATTGATGTTAAGGTTTTGGCAACAACTGTATAAATATCTTTCATGGTTTCAGATGGAGACCTTCCCCAGCGCTTTTCAAGTTCAGCAACAAGCTCTGTGAGCTTCCATTTGAATTCATCACAATAATTGTAGCCTTTCTTATTAAGTGTAGCATTTGTTAAGGCAGCAAATAGACAATCTTTGCCTTTTGTATATGTTTCTGTTGCGAATCTTGCAAGACCGTCTTTGTAAACAAAAGCTCGTAATGGACAAAAAGAAGTAACAAGAACGTATATCCTGAGATCGAATTTGAAGCCATCAATAAGCAATGGTCGAGCAATGTAGTCAGAAACAACAGATCCTTGCTTAATTGAATAATAATCTTTGAAAGTAATGATTTTGATGCCATTTCCGCCACTGCCGCGAGGTGGCTTTGAAATGAATTGCATTGATGGATGACTTTTCATCCTCTGGTATAAATTTTTATTATCTTCCGGATAAATGTATGATTTTGGGAATAAATTTGGAAACTTTGCGATTAATGGGTGTGTCTGAATGATCTTTGCGAACTCAGCTTTATTGCCTATTGTATTTTTTGAATTTGGAAAATGGTTTATCTTTTGAAAACAGCAATAAGGTGATATCTTATCAGAATCCGGAGAGCTTCCCCAGTACAGAACATAATCATCTTTCTCAGTTATCTTCAATCCGTTATAGTAACATAAACTCTGAACTAATTGTTTATTATATGAGCCAACTCTTAATTTTGAGGCACGGGCAACACGAATTGGGCTATCAAGCTCATCTTCATAAATTGCCGCCTTAAAAACTATATATCGCACCTCAGGAATCATGACTTTTTGGCGCTATTGCTTTACCGCGAACTAAAAATTTTGTAAACACCTTATCGTCAAAAAAAATCAATAACGTACAATTATTTTTCATACAATAAACTATTTTTTTAAAAATAACGCATTCGAGAACCATTGCACCAAAGACGCCTAGACTGTTGTAAACAGAAATTCATCAAAAGTGACACCTCAGAAAAGCTAAAATATTGAATTTTTGGAACTTTTGATAGAGCACGTTTTTAAATATTAATTAAAGTAAATGTATATTTTGTAAAGATTCTTTTTAATAAAAAATAAAATTTTGAAGAAGAACACAAAATCTTCTGAAAAATAATATCACATAAACTCATATTATTTTCTAATATATAACTATTTTATATAAAAATCAAATTCAATGATCTTAAAAGCGAAGGATAAACCTCAAAATTTACGAATATAATGAGTGGGAATATAATGCTTATCTATCATAAAACCATATGAAATATCAATTTTTGCTTTACGCCTAATTTTTGACGACAATTAGCAAAAAATGTTAAATGTTAACACTCAGTCCATTTGAATATGAAAAATAAAATTGACTTTGATTAAATGTTTTTATTTATCATGCAATTCTTCTTGCGACCAAAGATTTGAATAAAATTTCAAAAAATAAGATAGCTTAAAAAATAATATACGGTAGTGTTTACTAATAGATGAATAGTATATAAATTCTATTAAAATGGATTTGATCCAAAAAAATATAAAACCAAAAATAATTGTTATAATTTAAATGAAGAAGTAATTTAAAACGATTTTATTTATGATCAAATTTTATATATTTTTTTTGGTGAACCAGCAAGTACAACATTTTCTGACATTTTTTCAAATAATTTGTTTAAGGTTTAATTTTCAATGTCCCATCACCCTTGATTTTCAATTTTTGAGAATATGTTTGATATTTGTAAGTGTGTCTTATTACAATAACACTGATCCAATTCGGAATTATATTTGCAATATTAAAAGATTCATATCAATTGTGGAAACATTATGTAATAAATGTTGAATTGAAAGGATGATTTATTGAATAATATTGATTCTTCTCTGAAAAATTTACATTTATCATTAAAAACTCTCATAAGTCTTATCTCATCTCCTTTCGACAGTCTGTCAAAAATAGATAATGATCCAGATCCTGTTTTTATAGTTAGTATGACTATGTTGGGTACTGTGGCACTGCGTTCCACCTTACCCAAGATAACAGTTTGACACTTTACGAAACCGGTAACGTATATTTTACAACACAACCATAACACCAACTTAACCTTAAATATTTACAAAACCATCTGACACATAAACGACTTCACTAACGACTTCACTAACGAATTCACTACCGTCCTCACTAAATAAAAAATAACCTTATTTTTATTTTTTTTTAATTTTTTATTTCATTACAAAGACATCTCTGACTACATTTACTATGACTCTTTCCCAGAACGTTTCCGTGAACTATTCAAAACTCAAGTAAAACTGAGAAACATGCATTTTAACAAAGACAGACCCATTGACGATGAAAGAAATCCTGAATATATTATAATACCTTATGATGCTAAATTTATTGCATACATTCCTTATGGACGTAGAGGAACGAAAACTATTTCAACAATGACCAAAAATTATTTCTGGAGCGATGAAGAAAATTGCCTTATCTACATAAATGCATACTTAAATAAAGCTACATATTGTACAAAAGAAGGTTGGACTGGATTTGAGCTCTACATATACGACGACGATGGAAACAGACGTTGTGTATACCCATACGATAATATGTACCATTGTTTTCATCAAGCATTAAACGAATACATAGTCAGTAAGGGTCTCATTCCTGTTGAGTAGATATGCTTTATTTTTGTTCCCACATTTATTTAAAAATAAATGATATCACCACCCTCACACGTATGAAAACATAGCGCAAAAATAAATTTAGGGTAGAAGGTTAGATCTAACCCGATTTCTAACCTCATTTCTACCCTGTTGAATTCATTGCTTTATAACTCTCTTCCTTTCTCCAACTCTTCTAGCTTCTTCTTAAGTTCAGCAATGTTGTCCTCATGAAGTTTAATCTTTCTCAAAATTCCTTCTTTATCTAATGGTTGCTTTATCTTTCTAAACTGAACTCTACCATCCTTCATAGTATGAACGTAAAAACCTTCTGGAATAGTTCCTGATTTAATTATTCTACCAAAAACTTTTGTTTCATTGCTTCAGTGACTTTATTTGTCATTTTAATTAAATAAAAATTTTAATATTAAATAAAAATAACGTTATTTTTTTCAGTAAGGAAACGCAGGAGTTTTACGATTTATTTGAGGAGTAGGTTCTGGTTTAAATGTTGGAGTCGGTTTAGGAGTTGACTTTTGAACAGGAGTTTGTACTTCCATAGGTTCAGGAGTCATTGAAGGTTTTGCTTGTGAAGGCGTTGGTTTTGGCGAAGGTGTTGGAGTTTGTTTAACTTCAGCTACTTCAGTATTATTTACAACATTTGCTTTATTTCTTTTCAACATCATAACTGCTCCTGCTGTAGCTAGCAAACCTAGTGGGAGACCATATCTTATATAAGGACTTGACCAAATGCTATTTTTGACAGGAGCTGGTGGAACACCTAACCTTGGTGAGACTGCTCTTTGCCATTGTGCAGCTCGTAAGAAATATTCAATAGGTGCTTCATAATCGTTTGGTAAAGTTTGTTTCACAGATGGTGAAGGTTCACGAGAGCTTGATGAAGAACTCGTTTATAAGCTTTAAAAATAAACGTTCATCCTTTATTCCTCACTGTCGTCCGTAGCTAAGTTATAGTCATCTAATCTTATTATGGGGATGCCATTAGCACGCACCTGAATGGCAAAGCAACAATCCCTCATAAATCCAATAAGTGGCTTTGGTACATTTTCAGTTGCTAGTTCAATAGGTCCTTTAACAGACAATTTGTATGTTATTGGAGCAGTAGATGTTTGACCTTGCTGGAAGCAAAAGTCCACTTCTGTTGGAAAACCACATAAGAAATGTGTGTTGTCATAGCTATCCCATTTATGTTCCACACTACCATCATCCACCAATGACCTCATAACATCTTCATTAAATCCTATCATATCATTGTTTGTATTGCAGCGTTCGCAACCATTTCATAAAATACAGGTCCATATGATTTTTCAGGTTCTGCAGGCATATTTCCATAAGCTCCCATGGAAAGCTGAAGATATTTAAACTTAGGGTTCTCAAAATTAACATAATAGTTGTCTTTCTTTCTAAATAGTGCCCAAATACTTTTAACATTAATAGGCGTATAAGCTGCTGTAAATGTTGCACTTGAACTATCTGTATTCTTTGAGAATGAACCGTCCATAGGAATCCAATCCATAACTTTAACAGGAAAACATAAAGCCTCGTTTGTATAATGTTCTACAAGTTCTGTATAAATGTTAGGGTCTAAAGAGAATGACTTTGGATGAATGAAACATTCATTAAAATCCATCTTTGTTCGAAATAGTTGCTGGGTTACAGTTGTAATAGTAACTGTTCCACTAGCTTCTACTGCCTTCGTTATCATAGTGAATGGTTCATTCCATGGAACAAATTTATTTGTCGGTGGATTTGAATCTGAAGCAAATGCAACTTTAAGAGTTGGATTGAAAGCAATGATATCATTTACAGATATAGATGTGCATTGTAAGGCGTCGCTACTGAACTTTACTTTAAGCTGAATGTTTCCTGCAAAAGCTGGAATAAATCGAATAGCTTCTAATGGAAGGAATCTTCTAACAGGAATTCTTAAACGAAGCTTAAAATCAAATGATTTTCCTGCTGTAATTGGACCACTAACAATTTGTCCTGTTCTGCATGTTCCCGAATGACTCCATACATCTTCATGTCGAGTCTTTGAGAAAACATCTACTTTCTTTATTTGTTCGGTAGTTTGTGAGTTTGAAGTTATATATGCTTCTTCTCTTGCGTTGTCTTGAGAATATACGATACGACCATTTGCAAGGATTTGATATCCAGCAACTGCATAGAAATCGTCATCGAAACCAATCCAAAATCCTGGTGGGTTTGTTTTATTGGAACCTGAACCAATTTCTTTATCTACAATAAATTGACCTTCCATTTTATACGTAATGAATGTATTGTAAAGGTCCAACATATTTTCACCAGGAGGTGAGAGATTGAATGTTACCCATGTGTTATCTTTAGCAGTTCCAGGTTGTGATGGAATCTTTGCGTCAGAATATTTTCTATTAGTGTCACCAATTTGAACTGCATTGTCTATGATATCGAAATATGAGCGAATCTGATGAATATGCTCTGCTGGAGTAAATTCGTTTAAGCTGTTCGTTCTGCATGTATTTACTTCAGATAAAAATATCTATTTACTTCATTATTCTCACTCTTCTTCTTGGCATTCGTGGTGGAAGTTGTTTCTTGACATTTTCAATGAACTGTACATTCTCTTTTGTCTCAACTTCTTTCACTGGGGTCAGGTTCTTTGACTCGGTTTGTTTTTCAATGAAATTCACGAACTTTGCAATAAGCTCTTGGTTCGTTATTGAAAGTACATCTGGCTTCTTTTCTTCTGGTTCTATTGTTCAGTTTGAACAGAAGGTTTTATATGGGCTTCGCCTCTGCCATGCACCTTAATGTTGTCGCTTTCTGCATTCGCTAATGGAACCTTTCTTTTTCTTACGTATATTTTACCATCTTTACTCTGACTTACGTAATAGAAAGGATGTTGTATTCCTCTTGCGTCATTTAATATAATAGACTCTCGCTCTGATTTTGACAAGCTCATTTTACATCGGTTAAAGTTTTAATTTTGTTTTTTATCTGCAGTCAAATGACTCAGACAAGCCCTACGGACAAGACCCAAGGGGTCATAGATGTTGAAGCATTGAAGAAAGAAATTCGTGAGCAAATTTTATCCGAACTGAAGGAACAAAAACAAGAACAAAAGCCAGAGAGACCAAAGAGAAAACTTAGTGAAAAACAACTTGCTGCATTAGCTGCTGGAAGACAAAAGAACCCAAGACTACTGGCGAAAAAGCTAGAGAAGAAGCTGAAGCAAAAGCTAAAGAAGCTGAAGCAAAGAAAGAGTAAATGGTTTATTTTTATCGAACTAAATGTATAGACAAATACCTTTATCTGTTGCGTTCAGTAGTGAAAACCCTGACGTCAAAATAAAGGGGAACAGAGTAACGTTTAAGTTTCCAACAGACTGGATTGTGAACATAAATGAAGAGAAGTACATTGGCATAACATCTATGTATATAACACGTGCTTTCAGAAAGGTTGACTTTATACTTCAAGTCGAGATAGAAAATGACGAACAGTCTTTAAGCGCCCAAAACATTCACATATACAAATACTTTAAAGACGATACAACATTGCAACAATGTATGATTTCATTTAATGAGATGTTCGAGAAAAAGTTCAACATTGAAGTACAAACTTTACAGCCTTTACGTGAGTTTCTTGCACAACTGAAAGAAGAAGGTAGTCAGCCACAACTTATAGACTTTCATTATGAATTTAATGAAAATGAAGATGGAACTCATGACTGTCAGTTTGTTATATTCTCACCATTCAATGAAGTAGCTAAAGAGAAAGAAAATCCATTACGTATAAGATTTCAAATCTCTGAACCAAGTGATGATTTCAAGAATGTTTTCAATTATGATGCAATGCTTCCGAGGAAAAATGAATTTTCAAAGATTGTAACACCTGGCATTTGGGATAGAAAGCAAGCTATATTATATTCAAACTTAAGTAAGGGAGTTGAAAATGAGTTCATTGGTCATACAAGAACTTCACCACTTCCTAACCCTAAATACTATAAATTAACTGGCTTCAATCGTGAGTTTTGGATAGACATGTTCTCCACTCATGACCATAACTGCCCAGTGTTCTTACCTCCAGACCATAAGGACTGTCTCTACATTGAAGCACAACTCTTAAACTCTACCATCGCAGTATTGTAAATGACCACATGGGCTTCGCCCTTGCCGCTAGCGGCTTATTTTTATCATGAATGGTCTCACTGCTGACAAAAATAAATGACCTCATTATTTTTCTCATTCATGACCTCAGAACTTAAGCTTTCTTATGAATGAAGTCTTAGTCTGAATAGAAAAGTTAAACTTCTCTTCAAAGCAAGGTGTAGCAGACTTACATAAGTCAAATCCAATCTCTTGACCGTCATAAAGTGCTTTATATAACTTCATAACACTGAACTCAGAGTCTTTGTCAAATTTTCCTTGCGGAACCATTAAACCTTTATCTTCATCATAGAAACACTGAACAGAGTCAGGAAACATTTCATTAGCGGTTAAAGCAATAACATCTTGCTTCACGCCTTTCATTGTGCAGTGAAATGCAACTTCATTTAAATCATTCGTGAGTAAGTCTATGTAAGTCTTCTTTCCACAAAATATTGACTTGTATGCTAAACTTTGTTTATCTTTTGTGATTTCTGCAAAGTCGCTATGAAATTGACCAAGGTTTTTACCAATGAGAACTCTTCCATAACGTTTCTCAAACTCTTCAGCTAAACGAGGGATATCTTCATTGTAGAGATGCATACTGTCCGTATCGCTATAAAAGATGTCCATTCCTAAGTCCTCAGCAGTACAGAATACTTCACACATTATTCTCTTCGACATAGACAGAATGTTAACACCAAGTGGACAGAAGTTAAAGTGTCTGCAAATGCTTTTCGTTAGCTTGAAAATAGTTTTATCTGAACCATCCAAACCTTCGAACTTCACTATATGGTTGTAATTTCTTATAGCATATCTTATAGCATCTTTGTCATCTACTATGGTTATTTTTGACTCAATAGGAGATAGAATAGTTTTGCCATAAATACTGTTCAGAATGAGCTTTATATTTTCTTGCAAAGGATTTCCTTCTTTCTTATACTTTAACCTTAACTCAAACAACTTCTTTACTTCATCTCTTATTCTAATATCTCTGTTTCCATCGTAATAGTATCCTTGCAACACTTCACATTTGACACCTTGATATTTTATGAGGTCTTGTAATGTTATATGGTCAACATACATTAAACAGCAAGTGTTTGAACTTCTGGGAACGTTAAGTTCTGGATTTAGTTCAGGGTCACAAACTATTAAAGGAAAGTGTCTATGTATTCCAATCTCTGTTATCTTAATGAGAACAAAGAAGCCAGACATAAACTTTTCACCAATGGGTTCCTTTTGGTCGTCATCGAATAAATGTCTCATGAGATACTCTGTGCTTAACATTTCTGGCTTCATAACCTTTGGAATACCTTCTAAAGTATAAAGTCTTGCTATAGCTGATGGATATAATGAAACAGCGTCGAAATCAGCAATGAGTTTCTTTTCGCTCTTTTGTTTCATGTTATCTGACAGCATACATCTTCCACCTTGAATACAGCGTGAAATAAACTCTCTTGGTTTATTTGAGAGGTCATATAAATTTCCATTCGGGAAGTACACTCTGTTCTCAAATAATTTGTTAGCAATTGAACAAATGCTAACGTAATCATAAACGTTTAAATCAAATTCTTTTAATATGTCATTGCGGAACTTAACAAAACCTTCTCTTAAAATTCTTACATCTTGTTTGCAATAAAATGTGCTATACTTTTCTAAATCGAAATGGTTTTCATCTATTCTGCAGTTTTCGATTAAATCTATGTTTTTCATGAACGTATCCGCATCATGGATAAACTTACACGCTTCAGAAATGACACCAGTTCTGTTGTCATTTGCTAACAAAACACTGCTGTAGTAGTTGTAAGGAAATACTTCTTTCGGTCCTGTTTGTAAGTTAAACATAGCAGGAAATAGTTTAAGCTTCTTATTTATAACACTGTAAGAGTCTTTTATAATAATTGCCCGGCCTTTATATAAGCCAGTTATTTGCATTGTTCGTAAACCTTTAATGATGGGAGTTCCTTTCACTTCTGTCATGTGTCTTAAGATAAAGTTTATGTCATAACTGAGGTTATGAAAATATATTAAACTCTTGTCAGGAAGTCGCTCCAAAAATTCTGTTGCACAGTTCTGACCCCAAATGCTTTCACTCACTGAACCATCTTCACTGTCATAACATATGTTAAAAGCTTTATGAAAGCCATCAGTACTGCACTCAAAGTCAGCAAAGAAAACGTGCTCAGGAATGAACTTGCACTTATTTTTATTTACTTCTTTTGACTCGGCTTTCTTCTTCAGTTGTACACAATACTTTGGAGCATATGTCAAATCTTTAAATGGTGCAAGGTTCTGTTTATATAAGTCAGTCGTATATGTGAAAAGTTCTCCATAAGAAATAGGTTCGAAATATTTGCACTCCCACAATGTTTTCATAACATCCCATAACGGTGTTGTTCTATCATAACGAACTACATATTTATCTTCTCTCTTTGTATAAATCTTCATCTGTTTCTCAATGTTCATTCCACCACACTCCTTCAAGATTTCTATATAGTTGCGAATGAAATATGTTGTCATAGGTAATCTTTCGTTTAGCATGTAGTGGTCTTCAACAAGAAGTAAGTCAATCGTTCGAATAGTTTCACGTTCTTTTGGTATATATCTCTTTATTTCATTATGTCTAGAGTCATTGAAATAACCAATGGTAACATTAAATGCTATACCTGTTGCATCAGAAATTTCTTGTACTTTACTTTGAGGAAAGTCTCTAACACGAATGACTTCTCTCATGTGGTCAATAGTCTCTCCATCTACTCCAGCCTGAATGCAAGCATAAACGAAACAATTGTCCTCTGTCATAAGTGTTGCAGTTCTTTTGTTCAGTTCATTGAAGATTTGGTAGCGTTCAAGGTTTATAGGTAATGTGCAAAGATACTTCCAGAACTGACCGCTTCTCTTCTTATAAAACTTCTTTTCACCATTATCTTTCCAAAAGCTTTCTATAAGTGGTGGGTTTCCTGTTTGCTTAAGAGCTTCCAAAATGGCTTTCTGGTCATTTGTCAGTGTGCTTTCATCTCTATATGGTCTCTTTTTTGGTTTGCCTTTCTTTACATCTGACATCGTTAAGCCTTCATATTCAGTTAAATCATACATTTTTATTTCGGTAAGATTCTTTATGTTTGTCAAGAAGAAGTCATAGTGCATTTCAACAATACCTGCAGCATTTGCTTCTATCTCTGATATAAAGTTCTCCTTCAAGAGCTGATGTAGTAATGTTCCAATATTATTGAGGTTTAACGTAGAACATTCATACTTTCCACCAAGTTTATAACATACCATCCATCTCTGTTGTGAGTTTATTTTAATTTTCTCTAAGAGTCTCATGAAAACCTTACCGAAATGTTTGTGTAAGTAGTCTCTGTTTGGTTCATCTAAAGCTTCGATGTTAAAGTCAATGAGTCTATTGCCTGACTTCACATTTCTCTTCCTATTCTCTTCATCTTTCTTTAACCATCTCTCACCTTCTTTTGGTTTGTCGTCAATGGAACGAATGACAACGTTAGCTTTGCGAACTTGTTCTATAGCACTTTTAAACATCTCTCTTCTCTGTTGTTTCAGTGTGTCGTCTCTCTTTCGTGTTTTACCAACGTTTGCATTTGTTATGTCATACATTTCTCTTCTTACTTCATGAGGTACAGCTCTTCTTGTTTCACCAACGTTTGAGTTCGTAAGTTCAAACATCTCTTGACGAACGTCATGAGAAAGAGCTTTACGAGTATGACCAACGTTTGCATTTGTTATGTCATACATTTCTTTTCTTACTTCATGAGGTACTGAACGTCTATGATATAAGTCAATAGCATAGTCATTTAAAGGAAAAGTTCTTGCATGGACTTCGTCCTCGCCGCGTTGCGGCTTTATGAACTCACGAATTTTATCGTAACTTATTGCACCATTGTAGTCTTTAATGAAGTCAGCGAGTGCTTTTTTGTTTGTTGCGTAATGAATTGCAACATCTATGTTAGCTTCTGTAAGAAGTTGTTTTATTTCCGAGTGTTCTAACTTAGACAACTTCCGATACATCTTTAGTAGGAAATAAAAAAATATTTTTGAAAAAATTAGATTAGATTTTTTAAGTTATTTTTCAAAATAATTTAATATTTTTATTTTAATGAAACACATGCAAGATTGCAAGTTCTTTTCATACAATGCTCTCGCTAATGCCATCAAGAATGAGTTCAATGGTGCTTCAAATGTTAATGTTATCTTTAACAAGAAGTTTGTGAAAGAATCTAAGTTTGGTCAGTATGTCAGACCATTAGCTATCGTCATTGACCGCAAACGTTATACTTCACAAGAGTTAGCAGTAGTTTTGAAACAAAAGAGTTTCTTCGTGAATGTCAAAGATACACACTATACTATCATAAAGAACTCTAACATTGACTTCTTCAGTATTGCTTTAAATCTTTCCGAACAGAAAGAATATAAGAAAGGTGAAACAAATGTGAAATATTATCCTTCATCTCTGAAGACAATAACGAACAAAGATGTTATACAGAAATTCTTACCAAAGGTTGAAGAAGCTTCTATTGACATTGACGAAGGAAGTGAAATGGTTGAAGAAATTGACCCTGAAGCTTTATAAGAAAATATATTTTTGGTTAGTCTTCATATCGATATTTTACAACAATTCCCCAATGTATAAACTTTTCATACGCTTTTTCATAAGCTTTATATACCTTCAGAAATTTTGCATAATCTTTAGAAGCATTTAGATATTGTTTAAATGCTTTGTATGTCTTCAGAAATTTTGCATAATCTTTTACATGTTGTTCGTTCTCTTCTTCTGTCATGAGTTCCGAATATTCTAAATTCATGTTCTTTCATATGAGATAAAATTTTATAAAAAAAATAAAATTAGCTTAGATTTTTTTTATTC